TTAAGGGGTAGAGAGATTGCTTCCCATGGAGGAGATTCCTGACAGTTCAACCCTCAGCAAAGCCTCGGTTTAGACAATCAAGAATCTCCTTGGGTGATGATTTCTCTGTCCTACCTTCCAGCTATCTTATTTATCTACCGGAATGGCTATGCTGTATGCAATGCTGCAGTTTAGTTTTTGAAAGACTTTAATTGAACATATCAAAAATAAGGAAGTATAAAATGCAATAGACTTAGACCTGAGGTCACAAATATCTGGTTAACAAAAGTAAAGAGATATAATTTGGAAAGACTTGTTATCATGTGTCTTGGTTGTAGAGAAAATCTTTTATTCAGCTTTTTATTTCTGGGTCTGAAGCTGTCAAAGGGTACGTTTGTATTTCAAACCTTTTTATTGTGGGTTTGATACAGTTTTATTCATGTTACTTCCTGTGGCATCATGTTACTTCCTGTGGCATCATGTTACTTCCTGTTCTGATGAATGTATATATTTACAGCAGACAAGTCAGGAGCATTGTTACAGATTATTGAAAATCATGAACCACTGCAGTGATTCTTGACTTCATTTCTTACAGGATTTGATCATACTTGATGCAAAGGTCAAGTATGTATTTGTTCCATGGACAAGGCCACTGTTACTCATTTACAGAAATCTATCAACCAATTCATTGATGATCTTTCTAGTCAATGTCTTAATTAGCAATAAGTCTAATTTCGATCAGACCTTTCACAAGGGTATATAACTACAACAGTACCAAAGATGAATCAAGTGTTTTAGAAGAACAAGGTCATAGTCAAGATCATCGATACTATTTATATATGGAAAACAATAAAGCAAATTAAGGGTTTAAATTTAGGGACTTCATTTCATTATGGATTTTTAACAAACTTTGTGCAAATGCCGACCATAACAATACCTCAGATGAGATGAGTTGATGTGTAGGGATTCCAAGGTCAAAGTCAAGGGCGACATAACTGATGTCTTAATTTCTTAAGAGTTTTGATCAAATTTCACCCAGAAGCCGAACAATATTATAAGAATGCCTCGAATGAGTTTGTGTTTCAAGGTCACAGCTACTATTCATGAAAAATAGTAAATACAATACTTACAAATTAGCGTTGGGCCATTCATGCAGGTCTTGCAGACATTTTCTTATTTTCTCTGCTTAAGTTGATTGGAAGTTTTACATGTTAGCTCAGTCATTTTGGTTCATGATATTTAGATAAACAAGCACCAGTTTAGACTACATATGGTGTACCTTTAAGTGATTCTGATTACAAAGTGATGGTGACCAGGTGTTGTTAGATCTTGTATCAGCTTGAACTGATAGATAGGGCTTGGCTGTTGTAGATGCCATCTTGAAATAAAAATGTCGTAAATTCTACTGAGCAGATTTTCCTGAAACCTTTCAAAAATGATTCGGAGGTGATCCCACCCAAAGTGTTTTATATTCTGTGCCTGGTCTGTTGTCAAAATTCAAGGTGGCAATTTGGGATTTAGCTGAAATAAAACCTTCTGAATGATTGAAACTGTGATATGATCCCCAGCAAGTGTTGTTATTTTTCTTGTTAGGTTGAATGCCAAGGTTGGCATCATTATCAAATTGTCCAAACCACATGTCAACTTCTCAAATTCTACCTTTGAGATTTAGCTGAAATCTTTTGTGAATAATCTTTGACTAGTTCTATTAGTGTTATTTTGCTGTAATTGCATCTACTTAATTCTACCACTACTACTAAAACTGATGACTACAATTTTTGAAAAAAAAAAGAAGAAAACAAAACAAATAAATAGATTTTGTAGCGAGGCGTGATGGGCCTAGGACGGGAAATTCAGCAATTCTTTAAAATCCTTCTTCTGATAGAATGTTCAAATTTGGAATGAAGCATTCTTAGATGAAGAGTACTCAGTATTCAATAAGCAGTGGACCTTGGCCTTCTGGAAGAGGAGAGAAGGTCAAGGTTACTTACTCTAAAAAGAAAATTAGTTTTTTTCGCAATAACTTCAGCACCCTTTGTGCGATCTACCTCAAACTTCATACAGTGCTTCCTAATCAGAAGTGCTTGCTTGGGATTGCTTTTCAGGTCCAAAGGTTAAGGTCGTTGTTAATATAAATAGGAATTTTTATTTTGTGATAACTTCAGTTCCCATTGGCTGATCAACATCAAACTAAAAACAGTGCTTCCTTTCCAAAAGTGCTTAATTTGGATTGCTTTTGAGGTTTGAAGGTTAAAGGTCAAGAACAGTGTTAGCATACATAGGAGATTGGTTTGCAAACATAACTTGAGTTTTCTTTGGTTAATTGCACTCAAACATCATGCAGTGCTTCCTCAACAAAGAGGCTTGCTTGGGATTACTGTCAGGTTTGAAGGCCAAAGGTCAAGATCATTGTTACAATAAATAAAAATATTATTTTCGTAAAATAATCTTAACAAAGGTACTTGTTTGGGATTACTTTTCAGGTCAAAGTTCAATGTCATTGTAGCTGTAAAAAGACAATTGGTTTTGTGTGATTACTTGAGTTTTCTATGGACAATTAGACTCAAACTCTATACAATGCTTCTTAATCAAAGAGGCTTGTTTGAGATTGCTTTTTAGGGGGGTTGTCCCTGTTCTTTTGGTATTTGGACCAAATCAGTTTTTATTTTTTGGTTAAATTCCAGTTTTATGTGTACTTGGTAATTGCGATACATAGATCAATCATTGGGATTCAGATCCTTTTAATACTTTACATCTAATATGCAAGTTTTCTCATCACATCTTAAACAAATGGACAAATTATATGAATGGAATGAATGCAATGAATATCTATAGCTATTGTTCTATAAAATTCATCTCTACAAAACTTGCTGTGCAGGCAGCACATCACTGTGGAATTCTTGTTTGTAGGAATGCCAGGATTCTGTCCCTATTTGGTATAAAGCATCCTACTGTGAAGGGAAATCAGTTTTGTGTAAATTATGGGTCAGAGGTCCTCTGCAGCAGGAGGGGTATGGGAAATAGATCGATGGGTGGAAGGAAATCAACTTTGTACAGAGTCTCTGCCCCTGGGATGGGCAGGGCACAATAGTATGAATTCTTTTAAATCATTTTTTCTTCAGTGTGTTGATATTGGGAATTTGGACTAAAGCATGTTTGAGACTTTTGTAAAAATAGTTTTGCTGACCCACATGGGACAGAGAGATGGGCCCCAATGGCTAGATCATATAAACCTTTGGGAAATGTTGTCCGTAATTTTGATAAAGCAGTTTCAGCCAAAAAAAGTCAGGTGATCAATACAGGCCCTTGGGGTCTCTTGTTTTTAAGCACTTTGCCCTCCCTTGATCAAGAGGCAGGATATATTTGTTTTTGCAATTGTCACTGAAAAATTAATAAATTCAAGAAATTATAGAAATTTTAATTTTCTCGTAGAGTTATTATACATCAATGTCACAAATACCAAAATTGGTATACAATCTAGTTTTCCAAGTCAATTGTATTGATTTTTTCAATTGTAATATTCCACAAGTATTGTCATATTGTTGACTGTTATTGTTACCGGTTATTGTGTTTGAAATATGTAAGTACACGTTGTTGTAAGCAGTGCCAATTTCCCTATCACTTTATAAGGCAATTTTCTGACTACATGAAAATATATAATGTCGATGAGCAATCCGAAGTCATGTTAGGTATAGAATTCACCTTAGCTTTGAAATAAAAATTTCACAAGAGCAACATCTTCATGAGAGAATTTTTTCCAGTTGCTATAGCAACATGCATGTACAGGGTAGTGTAGTACGCATGTTGGATTAGCATTGTCACATTTGGAGGGCATATGAATGGGTCTTGATGTGATTATGGAAATCTTTTAACAGGTGCGTGTGTTCAGCGAGTAGTTTTGTTGTATGTCAGTATCCACTTAATTATATTTGTTTTCTGTTTAATGTGTATAACTTTTATTAATGTTTTACATTTCTGTATGTGATTGTGTTATGTAATTGCATTTACTTTATGTACCGAATAGTATGTAAAAGTGTTCCTGTGAAACGTTGATTAGGTAAAGTAAGACATTGTCTGAGTGTATGTACTGAAACAATCCTTACAACACTGTATAGATAGTGGGACAATATTCCCGGAACATTGACAGGTAGTGAGATATCCTGATGACTAGATATACTTATAAGCTAGTAGGTGGAATGACTAGATATCAGTCAACTGGTGGGATATGTTCAGATATAAATTAGCTGGTGGGATATGGTTAGATATAAGTTAGCCAGTGGGATGACTTGGTGGCTAGATATAACTTAGCCAGTAGGATAACCTGGTGGCTAGATATGACTTAGCCAGCTGTGGGGTAACCCAGTGGCTAGATATAACTTAGCCAGCTGTGGGATAACCTGGTGGCTAGATATGACTTAGCCAGCTGTGGGGTAACCCAGTGGCTAGATATAACTTAGCCAGCTGTGGGATAACCTGGTGGCTAGATATGACTTATCCAGCTGTGGGATAACCTGGTGGCTAGATATAACTTAGTCAGCTGTGGGATAACCTGGTGACTGTGTAATTTGGAATTGGATAAAATATACACATGATAAGTTAGTGAATGGGACATTCATTCGTCCATGACACCAGCTGTGTATTGTATTACTCTGCTGTTCATTGATCCTTTTATAGGTTTTACTTCAATTTCTACTTTGTTACAACTGTAATGAGTATCAATTTTGCACACACAAAGAGATATTGTTTGATGCAGACAACATTGATATTTGATTCTTTGGTGCAATTATACAGAGATTAGCACCCATGATTCATTTACAGAACACTTTTTCATATGGACACTTTAATTTCATGGAGTATGTAGTTTTGATACATAATTTCATGAGTGTTTCTATTTTCCATTGCAGTGTGAAGAACCCAAAGACAGAAAACTGTGTTTGCTATTTTGACAGAAAACTTATGAAGCTTTCTTCTTGGATATTTCAAATTCTTGAGTGATGGATTATGGATGAAGAGTGAAAGATCAAGTTTCGTTCAAACATCACAACCAAAGATGTTGTGTCGAAGAAACGTTGAGCGATTGAAAATGATGTTCCATCGCTGGCCATCATATAGTTTACGACCATGGCCACGTTCAGTAAGAAAAATGTTGTCAGTAGGGGTATTTATAGTTATCGTTGTTGTTATCATTTTATCTTATCAATTGAAGATCATTGGAAATGGTCGCCGAAGAGTGAATCCACCTCAACCTTCCATTTCATGTCGATTTGATCATTTTCATAAATCATTAGTCAAACCTAAGAACCATAGTTCTCGTGAAAGCAGACATACATCCAAACGCGTGTTAGTCCTTGTGGAATCTCCATATACCAGTCTGGCAAAGCATATCATTACTGTGTTAGAGGCAGCTAGGATTGAATATAAAATAGAAAACACAGGCAGGAACCTGCCCACATTGACGCATTTTGACAAAAGCAAATTTGGTGTGATCATTCTGGAAAACTTAGAGGCCTATGTCAATATGGACAATTGGAATAGGCAGCTGATTGACAAATATTGTCGCGATTATAAAGTTGGCATGGTAATCTTTGTTCATTCTGTTGATGAATATGGAATAGATAGGGAAAAAGTGCCTGGTTTTCCTTTATTATTAAGGTACAATTTGGCTTTAAAAGACTATACTCTGAATCTATTTAGTGATATTTGGAGGATAACACGTCCTGGGGAAATTTGGGAAGGGACTCTGCAGCAGGATGATTGGACAGTCTTTGACTTCAATCACTCCACATATGAACCTTTGGCGTATGCTAAGGCTGCACCCCCACCCTTCCTGGATGCAGGATACGAGGTGGACAACCGGACACTGGTTAGTGTGCTACAGGATCGAGGCACGTTTGATGGTATACAGAGAGTGTTCTTTGGTAACGGTCTCAAGTTCTGGCTCCATATCCCTGTCCTGCTGGATGTACTTTCCTATCTGTCTCATGGCAAACTCAGTCTTCCATTGGAACGGTTCATCCAGATTGATGTGGATGATATTTTTGTGGGGATCAGCGGGACAAGGATGACACCTGTTGATGTAGAGGTAAGAGACAAGTCAAACATCACATAAACAGATGCCTAATTATTAGTACTTATTCTTGATTTGAGTTAAATGCACTATAGTTATTCAATAAATGGATAGGATCTTAAATGATTTTTTTATATCATATTTGATTTTTCAAATGAGTCTTAAGAATAAAATTTGTGACAAATCCATTTATTATATATGAGATGGAAACAGATCGAAGACGCTTTGTATCACATGATTGATAATTCTGGCAAATATTGTCGAAAATGGACATTTCCTTGTCAAACTTTTAGTGATCTACACTGTAATGAAATCTATGTGTGTGTGCGTGCGTGTGTGCGTGCGTGCGTGCATGAGACACCATTTTAACAATTTACCCTGACTTCACAATAGGTAATATTGCAAACGTGTAATATACAAAAGTATAACATAGGTATATTTAGAGAAAAACATTTCAATCATATGAGTTTTAATTAATTTTTGTCGATTAATTCTCATAATCAGACATTTCATGGTAAATTCCAACATAATTCTTTTGTGCTGGGATACAGATTTTGTACATGTGTTACTGTGATCAAGCCTGTGTGATGAAGTATGGTGAAATTTTACAGATTTGAAATGTTACATTTAACTTTGAGCTTTTAGGTGTTGACTTAGCATGAGTAAGCATGATCCTTACTTAGTTAAAAACAAAACAAAAATCCAGAGGAATTCAAGATGCACTTGATAACACTCAAGGGGCAAAATAATTACAAATGCCTGTGGTGTAACATGTGAAAATACGCTACTTTGTAATTTTATATGATTATATTGTGGCTAGATAAATGATAATAAGTATACCATTTAATACCTCCCTGATTTTATGGGAGAGATGATAACATCACTTAAACATTGTAACACAGATTGACATACATACATAGACCACAGTTTCCTCTGTGAACTAAGGGCAGGGTAGCTCAGGATTTATTTACAGCAACTGACAATTTTACGTAAATTTGTTGAAAAAAGAGCCACTTATGAGATGATAAATCTTCAGCAGTCTCATGATCATGACAAAGAAAACAGCACCAATGACTTCCCCGACACATTGGTAAAGCTATTGCTTTCCATGAATAATTAGTGCTCACGGCTCTGTAATAAAACTGCTGATAACATATATAATAGCTTTATTTTTGTGTTAAATGTGTATTTTAGTTTTCAAGGAATATATTTTTCTCTTTGAACATAGCGGACCCGAGAAAGAAAATTAAGTGTTTTCTTTTTCTTTCCTTTTATGTATGTATACATACTTTTTAAGAATTTGCATATATAGTGAATTAGCTTTATTACTTTCTAATGCTTTAATATGTACAGTGTAACAGCTGCCATCAAATTTCATATGTAGATTCCTGAGGTGTGCTTTAGATAGTTATAAAAAATAAAACATTATGACCCTTATTTCTGCTTTGATTCACTGACATCTGTTAGTCTATACATACAATTGTATTTACAGTATGTAAATATCGGTCCCTTAGAGTTAGATCAGTGACATAGTTATTTTGAAAACATTTTCCAGTATTCAGCACATACAGTATGTTTGTTACAGCCTGCATAAATGCAGCTTCACTGTTTTATAGGATTATTAAAGCTGAGAGATTTCAAATGTTGTGGATTTTATTCCACCTAGTTGAATTAAGATTTACAGAACAACAAAGGAAATATTTTTAAGAGAATCTCAACCCAACCTCATATTCAATGAAATTAGGGCAAAATATAAACAAAAGACAGATATACATGGAGACTCCTGAAAAAGTACAAGGAGAATAAGACCAGGTGTTCCAAAAGAGAAAGCTTCTTCTGCTTCATCTATGACAACCATCATGTTAATCTTGGTCAATCCAAGTAAGTAACACATCCGGCTTTATATTGTGCAAAGAAATATAAAAGACATATAAGATTTTACCTTTTGTGAAACTTTGCATCAGAATAAAAACTGATGCTGGAGGGAAAGGAGAAAAGACTTGAAACTGCTTGTTGTATGAATATGATATCATGTGCAGAACTGGAAAAATGTTGTGGGGAAGGGGGAAGCTAACGTGAAATTGACAGAGTTAACAGGGAAGTAGGAAGGATAATGTGAAACATGAAGGATGAATTGTGGTCTGTCAATTACTTAATTACATTATGCCAAATTTTGTGTCTTATTACCTCTTAAGATGATAGATGCATGTGCCACACAATGAATTGAGTGTTCCTACTCCTCCCATATATAATTCATAATTATATATATGATGTAATTATGACCCATTGTATTTACTAAGCATCTCACTTTTCATTTAGATATGTGATCACCAACCACTGCCAAATATTGTACATTCTGTATATACACGTAAACACATTGGATGATGAGAGGAGTTTCTCGCCCACAGAAATCTTTTTATTGTTTTTCCTTCTTTTTTTTTTGGTACCAGAAATTTGGTCAAATGTTGGAGTCATATCCATTAGTTTGTTATGGATAGAGCCTTTATTATGATAATCATCACCACATTGTCTGATTGATGTAAAGGATGTAAACATTAAGAACTGTTTAGGAATCTTTCATGCCCGTCCATGCAGTTATGTCTGTCTGACAAGGCTTTAAAGCTGTAGGGAATATGTAGGCAAAGATGGATTTCTGGTTGACTGTTATTTTCAACACACATTTTTGGAATATAAAACTGTCAGTTATGTGAAATTAATTACATAGTTCAAATTTTCAGAACTGGCTCAGTATTTCAGAAAGCAGGTTATAGTTAGGTTCAAACTGATTTTTATCAGCTGGTAATCATGAAAGCTATCACTTGTGTAAAAGATATCTACAAAAGATCAAATATATTTATTCATGCTGTTAATTAAAACCACTGCATTCCTTACAAAATCTAGCTCCTGTCTTTAGTATGACAGGGCAATGTAATCCCAACCATGTTGTATAGTCATAAACTATTAATTTATCAAGTTTCTGTGTATAAATCTCCTGATGTTTGCTGGCATACCCTTACAAATAGTTTATTTGGGTGTGTGTAACTTAATTTGTTTCAAGAATGTGCTGAGATATTGTGTATTTGAAGCTGTTGTGAACTAGTGTTTCATTGAGCTGGATGAAAGTTTTCCATGTGTGTGTATATATATATATACTAGGTAGTTAGGGGTTAACCAAACTCTCAATTCTGCTGCACCAAGGGGCTAACTAGCCTGGTCTGGCAACAGCATGCAGTCGGCTGGAAATTAGCCAGCGGGGTGAGAGGTCTTCCTGAAGCAGGATTCTAATAACATTTTAAGTATTTAATGCTTCGGCAGTGAGAAAGCTGATATCACTTGGAAGAAAACTTAAAATATTCCGAAGAAAAGAAACCTTAGAGGTCTAATTTCACCAAAATGTAACTGTTGTTTAGTATTATAGAATTATTACATGTATGTTGATGAACTTATTAAGAGTTACGTATGGTTTATGTATTTAATGGGATGTGGACAAAATTCATAATCTGATCTAATAGGATCTGGCATCCTTGATACATGTACACATATTAGACAATTTATAATAAATTAAAAGTGATAATTAATATGACAGAAACCTTTATAAACTTTGTTACATATTGTTTTGGCTCTTGTAGTATTTAGTTTCTCTTTTGAAGGAAATTTCTGTATAATCATATTTATGCAAGATGCATGTGAAGGATTGTTACAATCTCTCTATAGGAGCGAATTATTTTGTTGAAACATACCCACTGATTTTATCAATATAACAGAGAAAAAGTCATAGCCAGCAGTCATTCTGAAAAATAACAAACTATCTGAACACTTTAATCGTGTGATTTAGAAAATTAAGTGTCTTAAATATGTTTACACTGATTTTTGTAATGTGCCAAATTAGATTGCTTATGTAAAATAAGGTTAATTCAAAATGTTCTCACAAATTTGGGTATAGTGGTATATCTGATGGCTTATCTGAGATAAGATTACTGGATAAAAATATTCCATTATGTCTTAAGATTAGGTAAAATCAGCAGTCTCTATAGATATTGTCTATTTACAACATCAGATAGCTTGTATTTGGTATGCGACAGATAACCATTGCCAAGGGACAGCTGACACAACATGCTAAATGCTAAATGAGAATTGCTGATTGTAAAATGCCTATTGTAGAATGCTTAATGTGCAATGTTATAATTGAACTGGAAAGGAAACATAAAGCTGCCAACTCTAGAGCATTCAACATCTTAAATGGCTAGAGCCTTTAGCCTTTTGCATTCACCATAACACATTAGCATTTTGTTGAATTAGCATAATGTGTTTTGCTTAAAGCATAACACATTGTGCATAAAGCATTTAGCATAGTGTATTAAAAGAAAGTATTCAATTATATAGAATGTCCCAAACACAATCAACAAATGGGGTTAAACATTAATGTGTGGTCGATATAACAAAAGTCAACTAAACATTCATTACCTTCAAAAAGACATGAAGACATTTTTAGGTCACCTACACCTCATGGTGACATATTCTAATACCCTTCATCCAGTGTCATGCATCTATAAACAATTTAACACTTTCGACTTTTTCTCAAAAACACATGATCCAATTTCAATGAAATTTTGCAGAAACCTTCCCTGGCCTAAGATGAACCTAAGTTGTAAACTATACAGTCCCCCCTCCCCCCAGATATGGTATAATCAAATGCTATTCATGAATGGAAGCATCTCAAGGTACCAAAATGAGACTCACATTTTTTTCTAGGGAGGAATGTTTCATTTAGACGTCACTGTAATTTTCATAGCAAAATTGTATTTTGAGTATAATGTTGGTTTTTTCCCACTGAAAATAACTCACAAGTTTAGGATGACAGTTTTGATGGTATGCATGTATTGACACTGTCTATATTCAGTGTCACCATTACTGTTTTATGAAACTTGATAACTATCTTTTAACCTTTATATTCAATATTGCTAATCTCAGGTGACCGTCAAGGCCGTTAGGTCTGTTGTTTCTTATGACTTTGGGACATCTTGAAATCTTTTTAACAAATTGGGATGAAACATATAGCATTTCATATTTAGCGTGAAGTATTTTGGCATTAAGCATGTCGTACCACCTTTCCATATGTGTATACACTTTTGGGAAGTGGTGGTGATCAGGCGATGATCAGCCCATGATGCTTCTGATTGGTAATGGTTAGTAATTGACTGAACTTGTAATTCCTGCAACTCCAGAATCAATATTGATTGTGTTGATTAAGTTTTGCTGTCAGATGTACCTGCTATAAAGTACATTGGCTGTCTTCAGTACTGGTAGCTGATGGCTTTCAGATCTCTGTGAAATCTGAACTGAAAATTCCACATGGATTTTGTGAGTGTGTACTTTGTAGATTAATCTAGGCAGGATTAATGTTAGTTATTGTAGGTTAATCTAGGCCAGATGAATTTGAGTTATTTTGAATGTCCCGGTCGTTCAACACAAACTCTGGACATGTAGTTCATTGATGTATGATTGCCATCAGGCATGTGTACTTGTAAAAGACCAATTTATACATCAGTTGTATTAGATTTGGGACCTACATCAACTGCTGATATGTCTAAGACAGGTTCAAGGGAACATCCCTCATTTGAAAGGACACATTGGCCACACCTCTTCTCATTCCATAGGGTAAAAAAAGTTTCTTCTATGTCTCTTTGGTAACTTGATGGCAAACACAACACCTTTCGCTATTGTTAGGGGAGTTTAGGGATGTGTCTGGCTGAAGATGATAATTATATGTAATCCCCGAAGGCCGTGATGACTGTAATCAAGGTAGTTAGATAAAGAGGGCTGGCTATTGGGATTTCCTGGTTATCTTGTCTTTCTTTGTCAGGGTATTGAAGTTTAGTTACTGATGGAATTTTGGAATTAGTGTGTCTAGTTTGTCGACAGTGGATGACCAGAGTGACTTCATTCCTCCTGAAACTACAATTAGCACTGGAGTCTTAATTGTTGAGTTATTAAGTTATTGTTGTGGAATGGAATCTGGGTCATTGAATAGCATCTTCATTACCATAAGATCTTTAAATAGCGCAGTGTTGTAACTTAGTTTATAAATAGCAGTGATCAACTAAAACAATAAAATATAAGTGTGGGCTGGGTCTGATGCGTTTCCTATTCTGTGTAAGTGGGTATATAAAAGTAGAATGTTCTGTATGCAAGACAAACTGTACTAATACTAAATAGATGATATTTCCAAATCTTTTGAAAGTCTTAATTTTCATTTAACGACTTCAGTCAATAAAAATGGCAAAGCAAATAGCTTATTTAATTAAGATCAAAAACTGTATTTCATGTGAGTCAAAATCAGTAGGACGTAAGTTTAAAACATGTTATTAATTTATTTTTTTATGCAATGTGTGTGTTTTGTTCAAAGAAAACTCTCAGACGAGTCTTGTGTGGAGATAGGTAGTTTATATGTACCTGGTATACCGGAGATAGGTAGTTTATATGTACCTGGTATACCGGAGATAGGTAGTTTATATGTACCTGGTATACCGGAGATAGGTAGTTTATATGTACCTGGTATACCGGAGATAGGTAGTTTATATGTACCTGGTATACCGGAGATAGGTAGTTTATATGTACCTGGTATACCTCTAGATGATTATTGATAATAATCTGAGATAAACATTTAGTAATTACACACCTATGGAAATCTATATCTTTGAAATATAGATGAAATATGTATGAATTCTGAAAATCCTTAGAGTTAGAGTAATATATATACCCTTTCATAAAGGAATGAGTGATACATATACCCTTTCATAAAGGAATGAGTGATACATATACCCTTTCATAAAGGAATGAGTGATACATATACCCTTTCATAAAGGAATGAGTGATACATATACCCTTTCATAAAGGAATGAGTGATACATATACCCTTTCATAAAGGAATGAGTGAAACATATACCCTCTCATAAAGGAATGCTTGAATAGTTATCAGTGTAACCTACAATGAAATGAAATATGTTTGAGTGGTTATTAGTGTAAATACTCAAGTAATATGGCGTTACTCTGGTGAATTGAAATATTGATTAGGATCTCAATTAACATATTTCCCCTTTTGATCTCTCAGTAATAGAAACATTTCCCCTCCCTACCTTACAGTGAACATATCCACGTCCAATGTATCTCCATCTCTGGTGTCCTCCTTTCAGTAACATATCCTTACCCTCCCCATCCCTCACTTCATCTCTTGTACCCACTTCTCAGTAACATATCCTTACCCTCCCCATCCCTCACGTCATCTCTGGTGCCCACCTTGCAGTAACAAATCATTACCCTCCCCATCCCTCACTTCATCTCTGGTGCCCACCTCGCCGTAACAAATCATTGCCCTCCCCATCCCTCACTTCATCTTTGGTGCCCACCTCATAGTAACAAATCAAATCCTTACTTTTATCTCTCACTCCATCTCTGGTGCCCACCTTGCAGTAACAAATCATTACCCTCCCTATCCCTCACTTCATCTCTGGTGCCCACCTCGCAGTAACAAATCATTGCCTTCCCCATCCCTGACTTCATCTCTGGTACCCACCTCGCCGTAACAAATTATTGCCCTCCCCATCCCTCACTTCATCTTTGGTGCCCACCTCATAGTAACAAATCAAATCCTTACTCTTCTCTATCTCTCACTCCATCTCTGGTGCCCACCTCGCAGTAACAAATCATTGCCTTCCCCATCCCTGACTTCATCTCTGGTGCCCACCTCGCCGTAACAAATCATTGCCCTCCCCATCCCTCACTTCATCTTTGGTGCCCACCTCATAGTAACAAATCAAATCCTTACTCTTCTCTATCTCTCACTCCATCTCTGGTGCCCACCTCGCAGTAACAAATCATTGCCTTCCCCATCCTCACTTCATCTCTGGTGCCCACCTCGCCGTAACAAATCATTGCCCTCCCCATCCCTCACTTCATATTTGGTGCCCACCTCGCAGTAACAAATCAAATCTTTACTCTTCTCTATCTCTCACTTCATCTCTGGTGCCCACCTATATGTAACACAGTTCCTCCCTAAACATTTTCCCATGCCTTCTCTATAGATATACCCTCTCCTATCAGTTTACACACTTGTTTCCCTGCGATCTGAACCTCTCTACAATAATTGTATAATAATGTACCTCAGTGAATTGATGGGGCATTTAAGAAGATCAATCTTATTTTGACAGGCTATGGTTCAAGCTCAAGAAAGGCTAAAGCAGCAAGTTCAAGGATTCAAGTTCAACCTTGGTTTCTCTGGATGGTTCTACCAACATGGAAACTCGCTGGAAAATGAAGGCGACAGAAAGATATTAGGTTGGTGAGATATAATGTAATATTTGGAGTTAAATATCAGAGAGTGACAATTTTGTATAAATTACCAGGTGTATCAAAAGTAGGTTACCTTGACCTACATTTTGACCTTCGACCTACCTCATAGAAATTGGATGGATATTACTGAATTAATTTACAGTTTGAAGTGTTTTTTTGGTTGTTTTATTGAAGGGTAAATTTCATTATGGTACCAATATTTGGATACATTGATACCATCTTCTATGCACTCTAGGGATATAATTCACGTTTAGTGATGAAAAGTAATGTTCTGAATTGTCTCATTTCTTTTGTAACGATCGTGAAACAACTTAAATCAAATTTAATTTGTGTAGGAGTCTTAATGTCAAAGGAAACAAGAGTACTCATAGAAAATTCATATTTATATTGACTGAGGACATAAACCACACCAGGCTACTTGATGTTTTGTACATGGGGTAGAGTTTGTTTGATGGAATAAAATGTTTAGTTGTATAATTTTTACAATATAGATGTCATTGTGTTATACAGTAAAACCTTGTCGAAGTAGCATTAACATTTCATACCTTTTCACATCACCTATCACAAGCAATTGTCTCTTTTTATTTTTTGTATAGCTCATCTGCCAAAAAGGCAAGTGTAATTAAGTGATGTTGCATAATATGAAAACTTGCATTGCCTCCAGGTCCACTTATTTGCTGTTGATGACAGTGTAGCAAGTTTTTGATGAACATAATTTGTAGAAAATACTGTATGGATTTGTAAACTCTTTTGGTTTGAAAGTTTAAATTTTAGTTTTGTGCCACGTCAAGAAAATAGAAAGATTTATTAAAAAAATTGGAAATTTATTAAAAAATTGGAAAGTTCGAGAGGATTTATATCCTGTCTCTGTGCTCCTCTACAGCTGTTCAGTTCCTGTTTAGAGAATGATAATACATTTATCAGCGCGGACGTTTTTACGAATTTGCTGCTTATGATATCAGAAAACTGTTGGTTATAGATGGCTTTGTGTTGTATATTCTCCAAAGTGAGCCCTTTGATGTGGTATTTAACTAAATGTACAAAATCTGGAGTTTGAATAAAGGTAGTTAATTGACCGAGGAAAAGAAATGTGTAGAAGATATCCTGCTGTTATTAATGCTTGTCTTAGTCACCATGCCATTACATATCTACAACTGTGTAGTATAGGAGTCTTACTCTGTATACTTCTACTGATGTAGGGACCCCCAACATCATTACAAATCTATACATCTGATGTAGGGACCCCCAACATCATTACAAATCTATACATCTGATATAGGGATCCCCAACATCATTACAATTCTATACTTCTACTGATGTAGGGACCCCCAACATCATTACAAATCTATACATCTGATATAGGGATCCCCAACATCATTACAATTCTATACATCTGATATAGGGATCCCCAACATTATTACAAATCTATACATCTGATATAGGGATCCCCAACATCATTACAATTCTATACTTCTACTGATGTAGGGACCCCCAACATCATTACAAATCTATACATCTGATATAGGGATCCCCAACATCATTACAATTCTATACTTCTACTGATGTAGGGACCCCCAACATCATTACAAATCTATACATCTTATATAGGGATCCCTTAAATTATTACAAATCTATACTTCTACTGATGTAGGGACCCCCAACATCATTACAATTCTATACTTCTACTAATGTAGGGACCCCCAACATCATTTCAAATCTATACATCTGATGTAGGGATCTCCAATATCATTACGAATCTATACTAGTGATTTAGGGAGCCCCCCTTCACTTCATACTAATGGAGGGAGCCCCACCATCACTTCATGCTGATGTAGGGAGCCCCACCATCACTTCATACTGATGTAGGGAGCCCCACCATCACTTCATACTGATGTAGGGAATCCCATCATCACTTCATACTGATGTAGGGAGCCCCACCATCACTTCATTCTGATGAAGGGAGCCCTACCATCACTTCATACTGATGTAGGGAATCCCACCATCACTTCATACTGATGTAGGGAATCCCACCATCACTTCATTCTGATGAAGGGAGCCCTACCATCACTTCATACTGATGTAGGGAATCCCACCATCACTTCATACTGATGTAGGGAATCCCACCATCACTTCATTCTGATTTAGGGAGCCCCACCATCACTTCATACTGATGTAGGGAGCCCTACCATCACTTCATACTGATGTAAGGAGCCCCACCATCACTTCATACTGATGTAAGGAGCCCCACCATCACTTCATACTGATGTAGGGAGCCCCACCATCACTTCATACTTATGTAGGGAGCCCCGCCATCACTTCATGCTGATGTAGGGAGCCCCACCATCACTTCATACTGTTGTAGGGAGCCCTACCATCACATCATACTAATGTAGGGAGCCCAAAAAAAATTTACAAAATTATACTTCTACAGATATGGGAAGCCCCAACAAAGCCAATTTATACTTAAACTGATGTTGGGAGCCTCACCATCGTTACCTTTTGATATACTGAGCACTAACAACATTTCAAATATATACAGTATACTTTTAAATCAACTGGGGACCGTGTTTAAGCACTATATCATTACTTGAAAGGTATAATATAGACACTTTCATATGTCAATACATGTTGCCAATACTGAAAATATTCATGCTTGATCCTTTTTACTGTTTAAATAATTTGATATGAATTGAACATTAAAGAAGAATGGATCACTTGGAGTTGTTGAATTGGACACGGTGGACTGTGACATTGTGTATATATCATCATTACACAGTGACAAGTGACAATTATTTTAAAGTAAAAGCAAATACAGTTGTAACTTAAAGTGTCCTTCCTACTTTGTGTTTTTTTCAGCTCACTTGGTCCAAAGGACAGGTGAATTGCTAGTATACCATGGTTCTGTCACTTGTCTGTTTGTCCACTTCTATATTGGAATGCTGTTAAAGTACAATGTGCAATCAAATAAATGCAATATCTTTTTTGGTACTATAAAATTTAGGATATTATCAGTTTTTGGTACATTAGAATTGAGTGCATTAACATTTAATGATAAATTTATGTATCCACAATAATTACTACATAAACAGCATAAAGAAATGGCAGTTAACACAATTACAGTTATATTTGAGTTAAATAGTTTCAGCATGCAAAGTGCTTTATTAAGATAACATTAATTTATGTATGTTTACAGTACTTCGTTCAAATTAGAATGACAGAGTGGATTTTCAATAAGTGAAGGCTGCAACCTTTTTGATCTTGAAACATTAAGTGATGTGATGTCAATATTCAATACAATTCCTCCACCCCTCCCCATTTATTTCCTTCTGTACATGTGTAGGCAGAAAGATGCAGGGAGATTATCCAACATGCTTGGAGTACCATGCATGAAAGGGATTAAATGAACCTCTAGAGGCTGTAGAATGTGCCAAAATTGGAAAATGTACAGACGAAGGTTCCATTTTTGATTGAGTAAGGGAACTAAATGTTGTATAATAATTATACAGAAGTGAACACAAGTATGGCGCACAATATGGGAAATCTTGTGTGTACTATAACTGAAAAGATAAAAATATCTATTGCATCTTTGCGAATATAGAGATCAACAAATGAGAAGGTCTCTTGTCAAATCTGTAGTAATGCTTGTACAGGGAAGAGAACTCAGTGTTGTAGAAATAGAGGGTTTGGTTGCCCTTGTGACAGAGTGATTGGGACTCAGTGTTGTAGTAATAGAGTGTTTGGTTGCCCTTGTGACAGAGTGATGGGGACTCAGTGTTGTAGTAATAGAGTGTTTGGTTGCCCTTGTGACAGAGTGATGGGGACTCAGTGTTGTAGTAATAGAATGTTTGGTTGCCCTTGTGACAGAGTGATGGGCTCTGTGTTGTAGTAATAGAGTGTTTGGTTGCCCTTGTGACAGAGTGATGGGGACTCAGTGTTGTAGTAATAGAGTGTTTGGTTGCCCTTGTGACAGAGTGATGGGGACTCAGTGTTGTAGTAATAGAGTGTTTGGTTGCCCTTGTGACAGAGTGATGGGGACTCAGTGTTGTAGTAATAGAGTGTTTGGTTGCCCTTGTGGCAGAGTGATGGGGACTCAGTGTTGTAGTAATAGAGTGTTTGGTTGCCCTTGTGACAGAGTGATGGGGACTCAGTGTTGTAGTAATAGAGTGTTTGGTTGCCCTTGTGACAGAGTGATGGGGACTCAGTGTTGTAGTAATAGAGTGTTTGGTTGCCCTTGTGACAGAGTGATGGGGACTCAGTGTTGTAGTAACAGAGTGTTTGGTTGCCCTTGTGACAGAGTGATGGGGACTCAGTGTTGTAGTAACAGAGTGTTTGGTTGCCCTTGTGACAGAGTGATGGGGACTCAGTGTTGTAGTAATAGAATGTTTGGTTGCCTTGTGACAGAGTGATGGGGACTCAGTGTTGTAGTAATAGTGTTTGGTTGCCCTTGTGACAGAGTGATGGGGACTCAGTGTTGTAGTAATAGAGTGTTTGGTTGCCCTTGTGACAGAGTGATGGGGACTCAGTGTTGTAATAATAGAGTGTTTGGTTGCCCTTGTGACAGAGTGATGGGGACTCAGTGTTGTAGTAATAGAATGTTTGGTTGCCTTGTGACAGAGTGATGGGGACTCAGTGTTGTAGTAATAGAGGGTTTTGTTGCCCTTGTGACAAAGTGATGGGGACTCAGTGTTGTAGTAATATAGTGTTTTTTTGTTATCCCTGTGATGTGGACTCTGTGTTGTTGTGGTTTAATTTTCACTACATAATAAATTAAAGGCTGATTTAGAGAAAACTGAACATGTAATTTCTGTGTGTATCAGTTTGGTTTTAGAAAGAACCTGATTTTTTTGACAAGTTCCTGATTCAATAGACACATCATTAGATTCAAGAGATTGGCTCTAATGTTTCTTAACAAAGATCTGAGATTGCCTGGCTACAGTTGAACATATTTCTTACATTTTGGTGATTTATCCACCCTGATAAGTGTTTAATGTACAATAAACTAAACTGACACACGAGTGTTTTCAGTAATTCCTTATTTCTCTTATAAAGTATGTAGCTGGGAGAAACAGTTGTGAATATTTCATGAATGCTGTATTTGACACAGAAGAGTTAAAATTCACTATAATCTTTTTATTCTCTTTAAAACCCAAAGTTATGTTCAAGGGAGCAACAGGTATGAATATTTCATAGAGGTTTTAACTGTTGTACTGCCATAGTTCCAACTGATACCCCTGTAGGCTTACGCACAAAGCTTGCCATCTGTGTAACAAGTTTGTATTTCAGAAATAACTTCAGATGTTTAGATAAAGGTATAAGGGATTCTGTTTCAGTCATAGAAAAGTATTGTTATTTCTGTTAGAAAGGGGGTGGGGGAATCTTAAAATACCCCAATGTTAATGTACGATGTAACATGGAATTTATATGCATAAAATCAGCTGTCTTTGTAGCCACAAGTGTCAATTCAAAATTACAATGTATGTGACTACCTTGTTATTTATGTAAGAACAAGTATTACATCAGTATTTGGTATCACACATGTAATATGACCTAGTGGAGCATAAGATCAGCTGAAGGTTGCCTCTCCTCTGTAACACCATAACTTCATGGAGGGATATGCATTGTTATGCCACTTCTGTAAGTGACGTATTGTGAAGTAGTGGAAGATGATCACTAATTTAGATTTTAAGTTAGTCTAATAAAGTGGTGTTTTCGCGATTGTCTGTGAAAGTATGTAAAGGTAGCCAGAGGATTGGTCAGATAAAGAATTCAAAGACTTAGGAATGTAAACTTGTGTTATGATTTTAATTTTATAACAAGTTTAATCAAATAACTTTAAATTAAGACCAGTGTATGATTGTATTTTGACTTCCACCTCATGTATTTCTTTAGGAAGATGTAATGTTGGTTGTTCATGAATGCCACCCCTGTCTTAATTTGCCTGAGTGTCAGAAGGTACAGAGTAATACAATGTGATGATGCTTTACCCAGTAAGAAATCAAATAGTCATGTGGCTATAATGTAATGGTCCTGTGGCCTTGATTTTTCAGAACACAGAAACAAGTTTTGGTGGTTTGGTCACATGTGGAGACACGAGCAGGCACACAAATTCACACAGGACCATCTTGAGCGATCTATGCTCCTGAATTACCAGTTTGCAAAGGTTTGTATCATTAATACAGGAATCTTCAGGATAATCTGACATATGATAATCTGTAATCTGTTTTAATTAAGTACTCTGCAAGCTTCCAAATTCAATCAGTGGTGTGAGTTGGAATGTCTGGTCCCCAGGAAATAGCCATTAAGTAATTTGACATGTAGTGAACTGGATAACAATTCCTTGGTGTAATATTATTCTTCAATTGTTCAAGGTTAAAACTGTCACTGACGATTAAATCATTGACAAATTCAGTTACAGCATGGGGTTGTCTTGAGGGATTAAAACAATCCAATGTTTTTATTTAAGGAAAATACAGTAAAAATTTAATGAAAAAAATATTGTTGAAAATGTCAAATCAATTAACTTTATACAATAAGATATTATAAGATTACAAGATATTATAAATGTTGTGAGTTTGTTAACTGTTACCATTTATCTATATAAAAAAATTAGGCATATTGTCCTCTGCTTGATGGTCTGTGGTCTAATGGTGATTTGTAACTGGGGTTTTGGAGTATCCCTGTACAGTATTTGATAGTCCCAGGCTTGATATATGGTGATTTGTAACTGGGGTACTAGAGTATCCCTGTACAGTATTTGGTAGTCCCAGGCTTGATGTATGGTGATTTGTATTTAGAGTACTGCTGTATCCCTGTACAGTATTCGGTAGTCCCAGGCTTGATGTATGGAGATTTGTAACTGGGGTACTAGAGTACCACTGTACAGTATTTGGTAGTCCCAGGATTGATGTATGGTGATTTGTAACTGGGGTACTAGAGTACCACTGTACAGTATTTGGTAGTCCCAGGATTGATGTATGGTGATTTGTAACTGGGGTACTAGAGTATCCCTGTACAGTATTTGGTAGTCCCAGGCTTGATGTATGGAGATTTGTAACTGGGGTACTAGAGTACCACTGTACAGTATTTGGTAGTCCCAGGATTGATGTATGGTGATTTGTAACTGGGGTACTAGAGTATCCCTGTACAGTATTTGGTAGTCCCAGGCTTGATGTATGGTGATTTGTAACTGGGGTACTAGAGTATCCCTGTACAGTATTTGGTAGTCCCAGGATTGATGTATGGTGATTTGTAACTGGGGTACTAGAGTATCCCTGTACAGTATTTGGTAGTCCCAGGATTGATGTATGGTGATTTGTAACTGGGGTACTAGAGTATCCTTGTACAGTATTTGGTAGTCCCAGGATTGATGTATGGTGATTTGTATTTAGAGTACTGCTGTATCCCTGTACAGTATTTGGTAGTCCCAGGCTTGATGTATGGAGATTTGTAACTGGGGTACTAGAGTATCCCTGTACAGTATTTGGTAGTCCCAGGCTTGATGTATGGAGATTTGTAACTGGGGTACTAGAGTATCCCTGTACAGTATTTGGTAGTCCCAGGCTTGATGTATGGAGATTTGTAACTAGGGTACTAGAGTATCCCTGTACAGTATTTGGTAGTCCCAGGCTTGATGTATGGTGATTTGTAACTGGGGTACTAGAGTATCCCTGTACAGTATTTGGTAGTCCCAGGCTTGATGTATGGAGATTTATATTTAGAGTACTGCTGTATCCCTGTACAGTATTTGGTAGTCCCAGGCTTGATGTATGGTGATTTGTAACTGGGGTACTAGAGTATCCCTGTACAGTATTTGGTAGTCCCAGGATTGATGTATGGTGATTTGTAACTGGGGTACTAGAGTATCCCTGTACAGTATTTGGTAGTCCCAGGCTTGATGTATGGAGATTTGTAACTGGGGTACTAGAGTATCCCTGTACAGTATTTGGTAGTCCCAGGCTTGATGTATGGAGATTTGTATTTAGAGTACTGCTGTATCCCTGTACAGTATTTGGAAGTCCCAGGCTTGATGTATGGAGATTTGTATTTAGAGTACTGCTGTATCCCTGTACAGTATTTGGTAGTCCCAGGCTTGATGTATGGAGATTTGTATTTAGAGTACTGCTGTATCCCTGTACAGTATTTGGTAGTCCCAGGCTTGATGTATGGAGATTTGTAACTGGGGTACTAGAGTATCCCTGTACAGTATTTGGTAGTCCCAGGCTTGATGTATGGAGATTTGTATTTAGAGTACTGCTGTATCCCTGTACAGTATTTGGTAGTCCCAGGCTTGATGTATGGAGATTTGTATTTAGAGTACTGCTGTATCCCTGTACAGTATTTGGTAGTCCCAGGATTGATGTATGGTGATTTGTAACTGGGGTACTAGAGTATCCCTGTACAGTATTTGGTAGTCCCAGGCTTGATGTATGGTGATTTGTAACTAGGATGCTGCTGTATCTCTTTACAGTATTGTGTAAAAGATCATCCAATACTGAAATTCATAAAGTTAAACCATACCTGATTGTTTGAAGGTAAAATATTCCAAACCTAACATTACTTATTTTCTCCTTAATATTTTGGGATTGAGTTTTGTAGGATATTCTCATTCAGTTACACTTTATTTGTTACAGGATCATGACATCCCTATCTACCAGCAGTATGCTGTGGCACCACATCACTCAGGGGTGTATCCTGTCCATGAACCCCTGTATCAATCCTGGAAAAATGTATGGGACATACGTGTTACTAGTACTGAGGAGTATCCGCGACTCTACCCCGCCTGGAGACGCAGAGGTTTTATACACAAAGGCATTATGGTCAGTATACAGCCTTTTCTTTGGGACATTCGTGCCATTTTTGGTTTGCCATCCTTTACACAGATAATAGAAGTTTTACAGTTATTAACCTTTACACATATACAAAAATGTGACATGTAGACTGAATGGTGTTGAAATCTTTGGCTAGACTTGTTATTGAAAACTGCTTATTTGTTTAATATATAGTTTATACTGTGTAGAATACTAGGCATGGCATGTATAGCGTGTCATAATTACAATTTTACATGAGTTATTCATGCTCTCTGAAAATTTACAGGGGATCTTGTAGTCGCCGCCTGTTTGTCCATCTTTCAGTTTGCCTCTTGGGTCTGTTGTCTCGTGCCCGTGCTCTCATGTCCGAAGCATAACTTTGCCCAGTAAAGCACACATTGGTCATACATAGGGGGTGTGCAGCGTACCAAATTTAAGACTTGCAACCCCTTAATTACAGAGTTGTTGCCCTTTGTTGAAATTTTTTGTCTTGAGCACAATTTCAAATTGCTTGCATTTACACTAGAATAATGAAACCTGATGTATCCATTTATCATACGAAATCATTGTGCATTTTACCATGCAAGGGCCTGTAACCACTTAATTACAGAGTTATTGCCCTTTGTTAAAAGATTCTTGTTCAGAGCATAACTTTGTCCATATTTAAGCAAATATCATGAAGCTTAGTGTATACATCAATAATACTAAGTCAATGTGCAATGTACCAAATTCAGAGCCCTTGACCCCTCAATTACAGAGTTACTGCTCTTTTATAAATTATCATGTCCAGAGCACAACTTTGCTTGCATTTAAGATAGGATTGTGTAACTTAGTGTATACATCGATCATACAAAGACAATGTGCAGTGTATCAATGTTAGGGCCTGCAACCCGTTAATTACAGATTCAGTGCCCTTTGTTAAACTTTTGTGTCATAAGCATAGCTTTGTTTGCATTAAAACTAGGATAATGAAACTTGATGTATACATTGGTCATATTAAAAGAATGTAGTATGCCAAATTCAGGGCCTGTAACCCCTTAATAAAAAAATTATGTTGCTTTGTTAAAAGGTTTTGTGCAATTAAGTTGTTTTCAGGGAGCATTTAGCAGTTTCACTGATACTCTTGTTGTTGCTGGTGATTAACAAAATTCCAGTGAAATAAAAAATATCTGATAGCAGCTTAAAATTTCACTGTTAGTTTATTCACTTCAAGAATGTCTTCCCTACAGGTTTTACCTCGACAAACATGTGGGCTGTTCACACATACAATATTCTTGGACAAGTATCCAGGTGGGAGGCAACACCTGGACAACAGTATACAAGGGGGAGAACTCTTCCAGACATTCCTGTTTAATCCTGTAAGTGCCTTTTTAGATGTTAAGTTTTAGACCAGTGTACTGAGATATCAATATTCAACACTGTTTACCCTAAAAACCTGCTGGCTATACATAAAACAACATTACATTGATGCCCTGTCCTTAAACCCTTCTAATAGTATCAGGTGTTCATTCCAGTATTTGCAACAGAAACAAAAGCAATTTTTTGTCTTCTAGACATTACACAAAGTAAAATGCCAGACTGATTGAATAGAAAAAAATATGTGAAATATTTCAATTACAAATACAGCATTTTACACTATCCTTCCTCAGGATTTTGGTTGTATTTTCAACATTTTCCATTGCCATTGTTTGGTTCTATTCTCAGATTAATATCTATATGACTCACCTTGGAAACTATGCCAATGACAGGCTGGCACTGTACACGTTTGAGAGTGTGATCAAGTTTGTGCAGTGCTGGACCAATTTGCAGCTAAAACAGGTTCCCCCGTTAGAGCTGGGCATTAAGTATTTTGAGATGTACCCAGAGGAGAGAGATCCGCTTTGGCAGGTTTGTTTCAATCTTAGCATATTTTATATGAAAATGATGTTTATTAAGTATTAGGCACCAAGAAGTATTTTTAATTTTCTTGTGTTACTGCTTGTAACTTTTCTCAACAATAAAGTGATAGGAAGACCATAGCAATCCCTCTGTTGGCAGTGTTGTCCCCTGTATAATGGCTTTAATGTGACTACTCAGGCAGATATACTTGCATTACATGAATGCTACATCCAATTTTAGTTCCTGGATGTTAGTTGAATATTTAAAAAGAAAAGTAAGAATTAAGCAACAACAAAGTATACCCTAGACAGCAAAGTAACAAAAACAATATTCCATATTGTCAGCACAGTGCTATAACTACAAACAATAACACTGTGCTATAACTACAAACAATAACACTGTGCTATAACTACAAACAATAACACTACAAACAATAACACTGTGCTATAACTACAGACAATAACACTGTGCTATAACTACAAACAATAACACTGTGCTATAACTACAAACTATAACACTGTGCTATAACTACAGACAATAACACTGTGCTATAACTACAAACAATAACACTGTGCTATAACTACAGACAATAACACTGTGCTATAACTGCAAACTATAAACTGTGCTATAACTACAAACAATAACACTGTGATATAACTTATAATGTGATGGATGATTTTCAGAATCCTTGCTTATACAAGCGGCACCTGGCTATATGGTCCACCAACAAAAGCTGTGACAGACTCCCAAAATTCCTTGTCATTGGGCCACAAAAGACAGGTTTGTTATGGGATTTTAACTTAAAATGGTCGTGTTCTGTTGTAACCAAAAGACATTTAATGTATTAGATTTAAAAAATGACGGATCATGGTCATCATATTTTCCGTGATCATGGTCATCATATTTTCCGTAATCATGGCCATCATATTTTCCGTGATCATGGCCATCATGTTTTCCGTGATCATGGTCATCATTTTTTCTGTGATCATAGTCATCGTATTTTCTGTGATCATATTCATCATGTTTTCTGTGATCATAGTCATCGTATTTTCTGAGAACATGGCCATCATGTTTTCCGTGATCATGGCCATCGTGTTTTCTGTGAACATGGCCATCATGTTTTCCGTGATTATGGCCATCATGTTTTCCGTGATGATGGTCATCATGTTTTCTGTGATCATGGCCATCGTGTTTTCTGTGATCATGGCCATCGTGTTTTCTGTGAACATGGCCATCATGTTTTCCGTGATCATGGCCATCGTGTTTTCTGTGAACATGGCCATCATGTTTTCCGTGATCATGGTCATCATGTTTTCCGTGATCATGGCCATTGTGTTTTCTGTGAACATGGTCATCATGTTTTCTGTGATCATGGCCATTGTGTTTTCTGTGAACATGGTCATCATGTTTTCTGTGATCATGGCCATTGTGTTTTCTGTGAACATGGCCATCATATTTTCCGTGATCATGGCCATCATGTTTTCTGTGAACATGGTCATCATGTTTTCTGTGATCATGGCCATTGTGTTTTCTGTGATCATGGCCATCGTGTTTTCTGTGAACATGGCCATCATGTTTTCTGTGATCATGGTCATCGTGTTTTCTGTGATCATGGCCATTGTGTTTTCTGTGATCATGGCCATTGTGTTTTCTGTGAACATGGCCATCATGTTTTCCGTGATCATGGCCATCATGTTTTCCGTGATCATGGTCATCATGTTTTCTGTGATCATGGCCATCGTGTTTTCTGTGAACATCGTGTTTTCTGTGAACATGGCCATCATGTTTTCTGTGAACATGGCCATCATGTTTTCCTGTGATCATGGTCATCATGTTTTGGCCATTGTGTGATCATGGCCATTGTGTTTTCTGTGAACATGGTCATCATGTTTTCTGTGATCATGGCCATTGTGTTTTCTGTGAACATGGTCATCATGTTTTCTGTGATCATGGCCATTGTGTTTTCTGTGAACATGGCCATCATGTTTTCTGTGAACATGGCCATCATGTTTTCCGTGATCATGGTCATCATATTTTCTGTGATAAAGGCCATCATATTTTCTGTGATCATAGTCATCATATTTTCTGTGATCATATTCATCATATTTTCTGTGATCATGGCCATTGTGTTTTCTGTGAACATTGTCACCATATTTTCTGTGATCATTGTCAGCTTATTTTCAGTCCAGAACAAATTCATCTGTAATCTCATATTCTTTACTTTGATTTGGTATATGACATCATTAGGATTTGATGATTGAATCATGAGAGTTTAGCGGGAATTATGATAATGTTACATGGATGAAATATCTAGAAACGGAAATTTCAACTCAATAGATTTTCCTCTCTAATTTGAGTTTGCTATTATTGTGTGTTGGTTTTGTACACAGGCACGACGGCACTGTATACATTCCTGTCTCTCCACCCAGCCATCCTTAGTAACTATAACAGTCCTGATACCTTTGAGGAGGTGCAGTTTTTTAATGGCAACAACTATTACAAAGGAATTGACTGGTGAGTGTTACATGTCTGTCTTTCTGGATCAGTTTTGTTTGGAAAAAAAGGTTTAATCCACAATGTCATCAGGAAAAAATATTTCGGCATTTTTTTTGTTCAAGGGCATGAAGAATATTTGAATTAATGTAGTTTTAATGTGATTATGATGTAAGGAATTAAAAATAGAAAAAGCTTCATTGGAGACTGATAGTGAAGAAGACCATGTCAAGAAGTTTAAAACATGTAATTTCTGTAAATACCATAAAGCTGGTTATTTTCACAGGTGATTTTCAGTTAAAATGTGACAACAAAATTTTCAACAAATTGAAATTTTGCGATCAGAATGTAAGAAGATAGCCAATTCAATGTTGTTTCTGATATAAAGTGTTTAGTTTGTGATAGCTAATTTATCAGTCAAATCCCAGTAGTATTCATTATAACAATAATGATAAATGCTTAAATTTGCAAGTGTTCTGTACCATATGCAGAAGCATTAATTCCTTCAAACAGTTCAAATTTTCTTAATCTCCTGGGATAGTTAGACACAGCTGTCAAGTGATGATACCAATTTGTCTTTTTGTCAGTTTTGTTACATTATCAATATTTAGTTACATGTGTCTTAGTTTGTGATCATGTTTTTGTTGAAATATTGAAAATGCCATTTCTGTAAAAATAACTTGCTATATACTATTACAAACATTTAACTCTTTTATGAATTGATGTTAAGATTTGTTTTGTCTGAATTTTACTTTTTCTCCAGGTATATGGAGTTTTTCCCTATCCCACCAAATGCCACCTCAGATTTCCTCTTTGAAAAAAGTGCTACATATTTTGACAATGAACTTGTGCCAATGAGGGCTCATGGGCTGATACCTAAAGCAAAACTTATATGTATATTAATCCATCCAGCTAAACGGGCATACTCCTGGTATCAGGTAAGAAACTTGTTGGGATTGATCGACATCAGTACATTACATAGACTGAATATGTTATACAAGATAACTGGTTAGTAGGAGAATATGTCATGTAAACATTCCACTTGAAGAACTAAATCTTTGTTTCATCTAAATGACCAAATTTTAGATATTCAGCAGATTTGGAGTACCAGTGTAATCATCGTCACCATTTTTATCATTCGTAATATTTCTTTTTGATAAAATGAGTACTTCACTGATTAAAGCTGTTCTTGTTTGAAAATAAAAATGACAGAATGTATAAATTGATGATATATCATTTTTAAGAAACAGGTATCTAGATGACAATCTGAACTTTGTTGAAAATATGTAACACCTTTTATTGTTCTAATTGAAAACTTGCTTGACATTGCAGCATATACGTGCCCATAATGATCCCACAGCGTTAAATTACACTTTCCTTGAAGTAGTCAAAGCAGATGATTCTGCCCCTCGCAAACTCAGAGATCTCAAAAACCGCTGTCTTGCCCCTGGCATCTATGTCCAACACCTGTCCAGATGGTTGGACTATTTTCCAGCTCGTCAAGTGAGTCCAACGTAAAATTCTGAAAGTCTCTTTGTTTATATAAAGTGGCTAATTTCTAATGTGTTGAGATATTTATGTGAATGCTAGATATATAGTATGTTTGTTTCATAATCTTCCCTCGTAAAAGTTCATATGTGGCCAGTAGGTATCTTAAATATTACAACTAAACTTTCTTGTATAAATGACATGTCATTTAAGGTCACAAGCAGTAAGTTTGTTGTTGTTAAACCACAGAGCAGAAAAGAAAAGGAAGACATTTGTAATGTTAATGAAGTGGGGGCAGCAGTGAGTGTTGCTTCCAGAGCCTATCTCCAAAACCCAAAAAATCTTCCTATACACACAAAACATCCTACACATACAAAACTTCCTACACATACAAAACAGTGGTCTAGTAGTGTCTTCTGCTATAGAGGAATTTACGGTTTGTATACTATTTTGGTTACTGTGGTAACAAATTAACTGATTTCAGCATTTCAAGGAGATATTTCCAAAACTGTTAAGAATTACTGAATATATCATTACATTTATCAATAAAACTTTAATCAACATTTCTGCCCCATCCTTCATATTGAATATTATTTCTAAACATCCTGTTAATTAATCTCTATGAGATATGATGCCCATAGCTGGGCTGTCTTTATTTTGATTAAAGGTATAGGAATTGTCAATGACAATTAACATAAACAATACCTATTTTGTAGTTATTCATTATTGATGGTGAATGGCTCAAGAGTCACCCTGTTGCTGTAATGCACAATGTCCAAAGATTTCTACACATTGAGCCTCATTATAACTACAGTCAGCTCATCAGGTAAGTGATGGCTTTCATTTCCTGTCTAAGCCTAGGAAAGATTTGAAAGATTTCACATTATTGTAAAACCATAAAATACATACAAACATTTCTTTACTTTGGTTCAATCTTTGTAAAGTGTACATTCATCAATTTTATATATTTTTTAAGATAAATGTTATGGTACATGTAGCCTATGTATTTGACAATAAGTTCATGCCTCACAATGGTTATAAGGCCACCTATATATATAATGCATATAAAAGATTCACATAGTTATATGTAAAAGTCGTCGGTCATGTAGTACCTGCGCACTATACCCGCAAATTTACGGTAATTCTAATTTCATTGTATAGTATTCATCCCTACCTCGTGCCTTTCAATAAGTAGTATTTTGGTCATCTGGGCATATTGGCAGTAGCAGTTAAAAAATATAACAAGTCATCATTGTTGTCATTGTCTTTCACAGGTTTGATCCAAAGAAAGGATTTTACTGTCAGATATTGTCAGAGGACAAAAATAAATGCTTGGGTCGAGGAAAGGGACGTCTCTACCCAAACATGAACAGGGAGGTGACAGACTACCTCAAACAGTTTTACAGAAAACATAATGTTGCATTATCAAAGTTTCTCAAGAAAAATCAATACCGCATACCGGATTGGTTAGAAGAGGAGCTGAGTCATTGACGGACATGAAATAAAGGAGCCAGTAGTTGTGTCAACACTGTGTACTAATGCTCAAACTCATATAAACATCAATGTTAGAATGATTAGTTATGTTCCGACAAAGTGTGGCGCCATGTTGTCTGATACTTTTAGTTATTCTTCAATGTTTTGGGTACAAGTTTTGTTCCTACTGCTTAAAAGTGACTTCACACTGTAAATGGTTTAGATCACCAATCAGGATAGTATAAATCATATTGGATCATACCTCACAGATCTCAGTTTTCAGTTTTCATTCAACCATGAAGCATTTTCAATGTATGATTTCTGTGATTAGTCATGTGAATAAATCGTTGCTTTTTGATATGTATAATTAACAAATACCCATTCATGTGTGACTTATTGTAAAGACTTCACATAAGTAACAACTGTATTACTTCAAACAAATCATGTCTCATTTGCTTTGGTGCTGGGTTATTTGCAATTACTGCATAATACTGAACTATTGTAAACCCTTGCTTGGTTATTGTATTGTAAAGCAAGGGGCAGTTGGTAATGTTTTTATTTCAATGTAATACGGGTAATATGCTAATGTTGATATGCTACGAACAATGAAGATGATCCTGGTCTGTTTAGTTGGTCATACTTTGAATACCCTTTAGCTTTGTGTACTCCAGAGAACATCATGACACATATCCAGAGGTACGTTATACTGTAAATACCCTGTAGAAATGTGTACTCCCAAGATAGCCCAGACACATATCCACAGGTACGTTATACTGTAAATACCCTGTAGATATGTGTACTCCCAAGATAACCCTGACACATATCCACAGGTACGTTATACTGTAAATACCCTGTAGATATGTGTACTCCCAAGATAACCCTGACACATATCCACAGGTACGTTATACTGTAAATACCCTGTAGAAATGTGTACCCCCAAGACAACCCTGACACATATCCACAGGTACGTTATACTGTAAATACCCTGTAGAAATGTGTACTCCTTAGATGACCCTGACACATATCTGCACCATTAATTAGTGCTAAGCTGTCACAGTTTGATATTTATCCAGACTTGGTGTTCTTGTTGACCTTGCAGCTCTATGTATGATTATTCTGCACTTTTCTCGATAATTCGTCAGAATTTTCAGAAGGAATACCTCAGCTGATTGAATTGTTGAAATAAACACCATTTCCTTAAAACCAAACCCTGTTATTATCACTGGACTTTTCAACCACATTAGTATCTGTAGACTTTTCCACCCTGTTTGTACCTTTTTAGAATATCAAACCATGTCTGTATCAGTAGACTGTTTAACCCTGTCAGTATCTGTCGACAATTCAACCATGTTGGTATCTGTGGAATATTCAATGCAATTAGTACATTTGGACTATTCAACCTTGTTAGTATCAGTGCACTATTCAACCATGTGAGTTTCTGTGGAATATTCAACCCAGTCAGTATCTTTGGGATGCCAAATGATGTTTGTGTCAGTGGAATATTTAACCCCTTCAGTATCTGTGAAATATTAAATCCTGCTATTATCTGTGGAGTATCTAATTCTGTCAGGATCAGTAAAATTTTCTACCCAGTTATTACCTTTGGGATATTATTTGTTGTTTGTAGCAGTGGAATATAAAAACCTGTTAGCATGTGTGAAATACTACACTCTATTAGTGTCTGTGAAATACTAAATTTGTTAGCATTCTTGGAATACCTACCTTCATCATTAGCTGTAGAATATTAAGCTGTAGAATCGTTCATTATGTCATTAGCTGTAGAATTGATTTGTTTACTAAGTCATTAATCATGGAAGATTTGGTGGAGAATGAGATGGGCCTTACTAGGCTATAGTCACACTTAATTTGTTAACTTCCTAGACACTGCTATTTTGTTCAGATTTTGTGCAGAAGTGTGAAAAGTCTGTCCAATGATTGGAGTTGATATATTGTTAACCTCTATGTATTGTACTCAGGATGTTATATCATGTGTTGAGTTCTAGATATTACTAGTACTATGTAGTTGATATATTTTTTGTCCTAGAGTTCTGCTTGTGAACAGTGTTATGTTGACGTATACAGTATGTATACAGTACCTACTTTTATCATAAACAGGTCATCATCATGGATTTAAATGTTTTTATTTTAGGGTGACACCACATTAGCTAATACTTTGATTACCTATATTTGTCTACTGTGTAGATATATATTTGTTAACCTTGTAAATATTCTTCAGTAAGCAATTTTCTCAAGTGATGTAATCTATGGCCAGAACTTTATGCATTGAATTTAGAATTGAGACAGACTGAATTATAATATTAATAATGAAATATATACCGGCGATAAGCTGCTTCCTAAAAATGACGATGTTGGAAAGCCAGTCAGGTAAATATCTTGATCTTCAATTTGTTTTTTTTACAAATTTGCAGTATTTATTAGTGGGTATTTTCCTGCTCTTCCTGGCTGAAACAGATGGGTTTCTGGGGGGATTGCTTTCTGAGCAGCACATAATGCTTGATATCTATAGCAATAAAATGGGTGTGTGTCGATCTGTTATTGGTATAAAGCCTGCCTTGCTGGACTTCATGTTGAATGAGATGATGTAATTCTATTTAATCTTAATCAAATAAGATTGCTATACATATCAAAGTGAAAAGATTGAATATTGGATTTCAATAATATTGGATTGTTTTGTGTGGTAGAAAGGATGGCTGAACAATTTTTGTCTTCTGTTTATTATATGTTTTTAATTTGTGAATTGAAAGTTTTATATATTTATGGAAAATATCTGATTTTATTTTGTATTTTGATCATATCTTCGACCCTCTTGTATGCTAATGATAATAGTCACAGTATTCATTGTGTAAGCAAACATCAGTTTTTATGCTTATAACACCTTTTTTGGCATTGGTATTTAATCAATAAGTTTAGTTTTACTGGAATTCTTCAATTTTAACTGTGCCATCTTTCTCTGAAGTTTTGGGTAGATCTAGTACTTTCATTCATAAAGATCAGTGTGATGGGAAAGCTATATTGAAAATATCATAGGGACATGTATAGGCATGGAAGAGGAAATTAATCTTACAGGGACATGTCTTGGTTGGAAGAGGAAATTAAGTATACAGGGACATGTATTGGTGGGGAGGGAAATTAATCTTACAGGGACATGTATTGGTGGGGAGGGAAATTAATCTTACAGGGACATGTATTGGCAGGGAGGACAAAATTAATTTTACAGGGACATGTATTGGCAGGGAGGAGGAAATTAATTTTAAAGGGACATGTATTGGCAGGAAGGAGGAAATTAATTGTACAGGGACGTGTATTGGTGGGGAGGAGGAAATTAATCTTACAGGAACATGTATTGGCGGGGAGGAGGAAATTAATTTTACAGGGACGTGTATTGGTGTGGAGGAGGAAATTAATTTTACAGGGACATGTATTGGCAGGGAGGAGGAAATTAATTTTACAGGGACATGTATTGGCAGGGAGGAGGAAATTAATTTTACAGGGACATGTATTGGCAGGGAGGAGGAAATTAATTTTACAGGAACATGTATTGGCGGGGAGGAGGAAATTAATTTTACAGGGACATGTATTGGCGGGGAGGAGGAAATTAATTTTACAGGGACATGTATTGGCAGGGAGGAGGAAATTAATTTTACAGGGACATGTATTGGCGGGGAGGAGGAAATTAATTTTACAGGAACATGTATTGGCGGGGAGGAGGAAATTAATTTTACAGGAACATGTATTGGCGGGGAGGAGGAAATTAGTTTTACAGGAACATGTATCATAATGGTGGAGAGACATGGAAGTATCTGTAGGGAAAATGATGGAGATATGTAAAAAGTTTTTCGACTGCCAGAATGTGGACTTTGATGTGTACATCATCTATTTGATTCATGAAATTGTTTTATTTTTATATTGCAGTATCCGTCATGTGGCATATCACATGATCGCACCAGGTTGTGATGTTTTAAATGTGTCATAGTGTATGGTTACAAACATTGAATCATAGTGGATCTATTATTTTTTTCATTCAGGTTCTAGTGTAACAGAATTTGACTGACGAAGTATATGCATCCATGATGTCAATAATCAGTCAGATAAAATGTGCATGCATGTCAGTGCTATTTATGTAGAAGTTACCTGTTTTAAGGTAGTAGTTATTTATATAGTGTGATTTGTGTGACAGTGATGGTGTGAGGATTGTCTGTCTATAGGCTGTATATATACCTGTAATTATTGGTGTCAGATTGCATTATTCAACCAAAGAGCACGTCCCAATGTAATTGGAATAAAATCATTATATGAAAATGTTAAATGTAATGACTATTTGTTTGTGAATTTGAAGACAACCTTCTTATTTAGCAACGATGAATCCTATTGTGTAGGATATCAATTGTGTTTAAGCTGCATCTAATTCTGAGCTTGAAAGTGTCAAGGGAGATAATCTTGTAATCTCTACATGGACTAAGTGTTGTTGATGTTAAATCCATAGAAAAATATGCATGTATGTGTCAGACTTTGATATTGCATCTGATTTGTATGCGTTTGCCAATGACCCTTCCTTACAGGTTTGTGCAGTGAAGTCACCAATTTTTCAAAATTATATTGATCAACTTGACAAGTCATACAGCAATATGTTAGATCTGTTTTTTTCATATATGAACCAATATACATGTGCTGTATCAATGTTACAAGGTAAAAAAATGGAAATATTTTTAACTATATTTGATTTCCAAATTCTTCCGCATGTATATAAGCATCATTCGTAGATCAAAAGGTTAGTTTAGGGTAAATACAGCTAGAATTAATATCAACCATTGCTACAGTTGTTACATTGTATTGGAAAGATAATACTCATTGATTACAAAGACATTAGCTAAGGCCAGTGTTATTATAAAGCATTCATCTTTACATAGAGGACCAATATCTAACACAAGTTTCTATAGTAGTGTATAGAATTATATATTAGCAGTTAAGGGGAAATACCGTCTTATGCCTCTTTTTACAATGTGCTTTAGCCGTTCAGATATTTTTCCACGATTATACTCTAAGATTCTGCAACATATTTTGGTTTTTGATCCTGCAGAATAACCAAAAAAATTCTCACCAAAGATTGTCAGTAAAAAAGTTAAGACAATAACATAGTGCTTGTTTGTCAGATAATTCATTTTAAAATGTTTTCAAATCTATTATTGTTCACCAAAGATTAACTGTTGATAATGAAAGTACTTAAATACATTTAGATTATTATTTTTGTTTTTTTCCAAATTATCATTTTAGAAATATTTTCAGCTTTATCATTGTTCAAGTTCAAAATACTAACTGTTCAAAAGGATTTACACTAGAATGTTAAGTTTTTAAAAAATATATAGAATGAAATTTTAAATGTATTGTTTATGAATGCCAGACAATGTTGTTGTAAGTTATATATTGTGTACCTGGTAAATTATGAAAACTCTGCCTATATGGTTGATAGTGAATACAACTCAGTATTTAGGTGAGCTGCCCTTTTTTGTATATATTTGGTAATTTCATAGACAGCTAACCATTTTTAAGTTGTTCATTTTGTGTTAAAACATGCATGCCAAAATTGTTTTACCTTTTATATTATGTACAAGTAAAACTAAAATAAAACCGATGAAATAACTTTAACAGTGTTGTTGACTTCTGTAGTTTTGACAACCTGTACAACCAGTACGAACATATTGAAAATTTGAAGCTTTACATTTCACAATGTTTGTACAGGTCCTGAAGGTCCATCCATTGAGCTGTTACTGGATTATATATTATGCACTATTTTGAAGGTACTGAGTGGCATACCAAATTGAAGTAATGTGAGTTGAACCTCGGTGAAACAGTTTCCAGAAAATTTCTCGTCCACTATAAGTACAACATGAGGTGTTGTGTCGCACACAAAAATAAGGCAAATAATGTTAATTGAAAGGTTTCAAGACTACATACACTTCACCTACTTTTTTAGGCATGATTGTCAGAAACCCACAAGGCTTTTCTGTGTCCCAGTCTCATGGGTTTACGACGGTTGTCGTGTATGGACATCAAATTTGGTACTTATGTGCATGTTCCATACCTGTGATTATTTTGACCCAAATACAAAAAATACATTTTTGTTACACATCTTAGTCATTACTTCATGTATGACCATCAGTATTTTGTTAACTATTGCAGGTGTATGGTTACATACCAATTAATTTGTGCTCTGACCTCCTGACTTTTGATCTAGGGTCAATTAGCAAGTAAATGAGATCCAACCTTTTCCTTCCACAAGCCATAGCCTTATTCCATTTTAATTTGGGAGCATATCTCTTCTATTATTTCATGTACAGAATATGATTCTTTTGTACATTTTTTGTAAAGCGTGTGCCATGTGTGGCAAGTAGGTCACTGTGATCTGTATTCTGACACAAGAACAAAACAGTTTCTGGGTATTATTTCCAATACATTTTCCACATGAGGATCTTTGAGGTCCTGTACTGTAAAGTGGGAAGGAGATTTGATTGAGATGGAACTTTTTTAGTTATCTGTGCATACCAGAGTATATTCATCATATATGCTTTGTTCATGGTCAATTCTGAAGAATCTGAATAACTGGAAAAATGAAATATAACAACAAAAAGTTTGTAATGAAATTTTATTATTTTTTTTATTAGTTTCTGCTTGAAAGGAAAATGATGAAAAGTTAGAGCAACAAATTAAGAGTTTTTTTTATTCAAGAATCAATTTAATGAATATAAATGATTGAACTGAGGACTTTTTCTGTAACTTATTTTATTTACATTCTATCAAACGTCTGACCATAATGTCCCAGTGCACTTTTAATTTTGCTACAAAAAATTAATAAGAATATTCAAAAAGTTGATTCTTTCATAAACATTTAAACCAGTAAAAATTGGAACAAAACTATAAATTATTTTCAGTACACATTTGTATCAGTACATTTTTCTAATGATGTTACCACAATTCAAATGAGTATTTGATTCACATCAAACCCTTGTAAAGCACTGAAAACACAAATAAATTCAACCACAGACAAACTTCTTAATCTTAAAGGCATTTCGTTGTATGTACCAATTGTTGGAACATATAATATGTGAAAGGTTTTCATAATTCTAACCCATGCTGTGTCATTATCATATATCTCCCTAAAAGGTGTTTTAACACTTGTTAAAACTGACAGCATTCTGATTAAAATGGTTCCTTCTTGAAATCAATGTCTACCTATTGATTGACAGCAGAATCGTGCTATCTAAGACAAAGATAACAAGGTATAAACAAGTAAAAGTGAGACAAATTATGGTCCAGGGTAACAAAAATTCCTTTCCAGTCATCAGGTATCTGCCATACATGTGAAGAAATAGACTATTTTGACTATGTTTTGCTGGTCATTGTGAAATGGTCCACATTTGTTCTCTCAGCTGATTATGATAGATGAACATGTGACGTAACAGCAGTAACAGAGTGATATACCCAATTTAGAATCCCCCTTACATACAAACTGATTGCAATGTCATATGATCTTCACTGAAATTCATGGTTTGTAGTTATTACACATGAACAGGCCAAGGTAGGGGCCTATGCTATGCAGGGATTACTTACGTCACACAGGAGTAGCTCATGTCATTTAGGGATTGCCAGTATCATACAGGGATAGTCTGTCACACAAAGGATGGCCTGTTACACAGGGATAGCTCATGTCATACAGGGATAGCTCAGGTCATACAGGGATGGCCTATACCATATAAGGATGGCCTTAGTCATACAGGGACAACCTATGTCACACAGGGATGGCCTGTTACACAGGGATAGCTCGTGTCATTCAGGGATGGCCTTTACCATATAAGGATGGCCTAAGTCATACAGGGACAACCTATGTCACACAGGGATAGCTCATGTCATATTTTTTACTCCCAAGATAAAATTAGTATGAATGGTAGTACACTTAACATAATCACAGCACAAAATATCTTTGTCAGGGATGAAAACATTGGTTTTTTGATATTCAGAAAGAAGTATTAGTTTAAGAATAAGCCATGACAAACAATGTTCATCAAGTCTGTCCATTTACTATAAAACCTCTTAAATGATTCAGTGATGATTCCAGTATATTTTACAGATAATAAAATGAATAAACTGATGCTTATTTATGTATGTTGTTGTGCTTGGGTGGAATGATTACCTGAAGGTAAACACCTGACACTGTCTTGTTTAACTTGATCCATCTGTTACAATATTGTATACAGCTGGAATGTTGTATTTCTCTAATATATTTCAATAAACAGGTATAATATAATTTCATTTAAAACTATATAATACAATTTTCTTAAACAGCACAATGCTAAATGATGAGAAGACATATATATGTACACTAAAGAATTAATTCAAAACTACATTTTGTCTGAACTTTAAATTTATTATCCTCTTTAAAAAAAAAAAAAAAAGAGGGGTAGTGTGGGGAGGGGCAAATCCAAGTTGACAAGGAAAATTTAAATTGAAGTTTCACAGGGTTTGTTTAAACTTTTTGATATGAACAATATCATAATTCACATTTCATATGGTTAATGTCTTTTTATTTTTGAAAATATCAAAACAGAGTTATCTCTCTTTAGTGAAAAGTGTTTCGAAATATAAGTATTTTGACATTTTACTATCAGAGGTAGATAAACTCATCATAGATAATTCTAGTTTTCAGCCCATGTTGTCCATCCATCAGTCAATTTCTCCTGCAAATCACTACTAGTCTTGATGGTTGAATTGACTTGATCATTGAACTAACCATGAACAGTTTTTGTTTGGTAAGTTTACATAACACAAACATTATCAACAAAGTATGTTATTAAACCCAAAACTTCCATCCTAACTCATATTGACCTACTTTTTTCTCTATTTCATGTCAGATCAGATGCATAACCACTGGTATCTGAGCTGTCAGTACTCCAGGAATTATCATACTTCAGTATTGCTAGTTTAGTTATAAGTGTGTTGGTATCAAAAGTTTAGGGGACTTGAAAATATTACAGTGAAATAATCTGGGTTATTTTAAAGAAAATTCAAGATTGGTAATTGAGTACCTTGTATAAATTTAACACTCATTTTTTTCTTTTGATGTTGGAATATGTATGACTATGGACAGCTAATAACAAATCAGTTACTGTTTAATTCTCATCTAAAGTATTTAACTGTCTGCAAACATTGTCTACAAACTCTGTAATGTTGTACAGTAATGTAATACACTGTCCACATACACAATTGTACAGCAATGTAATACACTTCCAACATTTAAGTGTTCAGTAATAAAAAAGATACTGTCCACATACACAATTGTAATGTAATACAATGTACATATATATTAGTATTCACTAATGTAATACACTGTCCACCGACAGTGTTCAGAATTGTACTGAATACATGTACCTGCTAAAATCATATGTGACTTGCAATGTCCAGGCAGTTTAGTAAATGATGTATTAGTTTAATCTGTATCAATCTCCTCATTCACCAAAGTAGAACATACCAGGTTTTTTTTTTACCATTATAAAATTCAGTCATAACATCAATGTTTTTCTCTCATAGATATGTGTATACAGCTACAATGTAGTCTGGTCTCCTCAGTTCACGACATAGTTTGTCACATACTCACATAACAAATACCAAAAGCTTTCTCATACTCATATTATCATTATCTCATACTCACACAATGACCATCACATACTCACATTCTTAATAGCTGTCTCATCCTCACATTACCAATGACCTATCATATGACCAACAGTCATCACATACTAGACCATTGGTCGATCCATACTTGCACTCCATGGCTCAGTGACATTGCTATTTGCATAAGGTTTATTCTATATAAACTCCATCTATTTCCTTCAGCTGATAGTATTTTATGCTACAAACCCCTCAAATAAACTCTTTAATAAAACATCCCCATTTCTTGAGAATTCTGTGGAGAATTTTAGAATATGCAGGGAACAACATAAAATTTTGATTGATATTTATTTCTTTTGACCTTGTGCATTGTTGATTAAAAAAAGCCTTCCTATGTTGGAAACACAACATCAGTTTAATCCAATAAATAACAAAACACTTCTTACCGCACTGCTCTTTTTTAATCCTTGAATCAAGTTAAAATTATTTGAGTTATTATGTCTAGATTTTCTTCTAAATTTCTAATTTTAGCTTTGTTTTGCAGAATATTCATTTTTTTCCCCTAAAAATAGACTTTACGCAGATTGAACAAAGTATGTTTTGGTGCCCTGAAGTAGAGAAGGCTCTCTTTTGTACAAGCCTACAAGATAAAACAATCTCCATATGATTACTGTACCCTCAGATTTCCACATTCAAACCCACTTATTCACTGACAGATTAACCAATATAAACAATATGTGAACTAAGCCTTACACAACCTATGTGAGCTACACATAACAGAGAAATCCTTTCACGTTAGCTTGCTGTACATTTCATCGATCTGACTTTTGAAGAACGTCTTCAGTTCATTTCTTTTTGTTTTGAATGTTGGTGTTAAGAGTCCATTTTCAACTGAGAATAACTCTGGGAACACAAATATATCTTTCACCTGTGAATAGAAAATGAAAGCAAAAAATGTAAGAAAAACTTAAAATGATCTAACTGCATATCTGGGTATACACAATTTCTTTAAAGTCAAAAAGAAATAAGCATACCGAGTATTGCTAAAGCAAAACATGTGCCCTACTGGCAAACACAAATAATTACACTGTTATCATTTATTACCTAGTTAAAAGAATGAAGCTAAAATGAAACTATTTATTTTCACAATTTGAATCTACAGCATTCATGTTTGATTCCTTAAGTGTTGGCAACTTCAACAGGTACATTATCAATAAGTGAAAAGTGAACTATTAAACAAATTCAGCATGAAGATTTTTACCAAAAAGAAGTTATATCCCAAGTGCTTATTTCACAAAAATAGTCCCAATTTGTCAAGTCAGAATCATGCTACTCACTTGTTCGAAAGAATGGAGTCCAGATTGTTTACCAATGTCTGATAAATCATCTAAAATTGCTTTCTTGATTTTCTGTAAAAAAGAATCATTGATTAAGATTATTCTGTAAAAAGGCAGTGCTCTGTTTTCAGTCTCGCTGAACATTCTTGGATCATATATATCATATAGGGAAATGTAAAATACCATGTACATAATGATGATGTATTACAAAAATATTTTTCTTTTTTATACATCACTTAGAAAAATTCTCATCAAGAAGTAATGTGATTTTCTGTTTGTACTTACCGGGTTCTTAGCCAACTCCTCCAGTGTACCTGACACACCTAGCTTGGTCTTGGCAAATTGTGGGAATGTGTCTGGGTCAGGTACCACCACACCCACTAGAGATGACTAAAAAATACATACGGTGTCAATCAAACGTCACACAACAGAAGACAAAAAAATCAGTTGTCACACAGAGAGAGTGTCAAGTTAGAAAAAACATATTTCTGGTGCCAAATAAGGAGTTATGTACACCAGATGTCAAATCCAGTATGAAATACATTTTGAGTATGAAATACTGGTATAAACAGCATTGTTCTGGTATGAATGATTAATTTTAAGATAAGTCTACTGATTTTATCAACATTTCAGTTTTTAATCATTTTCATATTTCTAAATAAATAATATTTATTTTTTCACAAAGTAAAAGAAATTTTCTACTTTGCCTGAAAAATTAAGAAAGGATTACCTTCAGACTGTCACCATGGACAAACATCTGGGCCACCATTGTACTGCGTACATATACATTCTCAATCTTCTCAGGAGCTATATATTCCCCTTGTGCTAGTTTGAAGATATGTTTTTTTCTGTCAATGATTTTCAGTGTACCATTCTAAAATTAAACACAAAAAAGACAAAAACATAAATAAAGATAATCTCTCCCTAGTTAGGTTAGCAATTATAATGACTTGTACTATTTATCAATGTATATCATTTGTAGATATGCCAGATCTGAGAGAAAATATGTATATATATGGGATATGGATATGAAATTCCAGATATGGATATTCCATATATAACATACCTACATAATTGCTTACTCATTGCTTCTTCTCACACCTTTGACAGAAAAAAATCAATGTACAATGTAACTTTCTATTAACCTTGTCCCCAGTGTGGTATAACTTCCTGATAAGCAGTTCCCAGTGTGGTATAACTTACTAATGACCAGTCCCCAGTGTGGTATAACTAACTAATGACCAATCCCCAGTATGGTATAGCTTACTGATAACCATTCCCCAGTGTGGAATAACTTACTGATAACCAGTCCCCAGTGTGGTATAACTAACTAATGACCAATCCCCAGTATGGTATAGCTTACTGATAACCATTCCCCAGTGTGGAATAACTTACTGATGACCAGTCCCCAGTTTGGTATAACTTACTGATAACCAGTCCCCAGTGTGGTATAACTTACTAATGACCAATCCCCAGTTTGGTATAACTTACTGATAACCAGTCCCCAGTGTGGTATAACTTACTAATGACCAATCCCCAGTATGGTATAGCTTACTGATAACCATTCCCCAGTGTGGAATAACTTACTGATGACCAGTCCCCAGTGTGGTATAACTTACTGATAACCAGTCCCCAGTGTGGTATAGCTTACTGATTACCAGTCCCCAGTGTGGTATAGCTTACTGATTACCAGTCCCCAGTGTGGTATAGCTTACTGATTACCAGTCCCCAGTGTGGTATAACTTACTGATTACCAGTCCCCAGTGTGGTATAACTTACTGATAACCAGTCCCCAGTGTGGTAAATCTTACTGATAACCAGTCCACAGTATAACTTACCGGTAACCATTCCCCTATGTCCCCAGTATGGAGCCATCCTTCATCATCTACGGCCTCTTTTGTCTTTTCTGGATCCTTGTAGTACCCAGCAAACACGTTTGGCCCTTTTACACACACCTAACAATGATGAACAACCTGATTTTAAGACCTGTCTTTTGACACAAAATAAATCAAATCAGTTAATAATGTAATGAGTTTACTACCAATGTGTACGTATAAACTCACCTCTCCTTTATCATCCTTGGCAAAGTAATTCATATCAGGGACATCTGCTACCTTAAGATAGTTACAAGCAATAGGTATGCCCACATGGCCTGCAATTAAAAATCATCGTATTTCTCAAAAAAATGTCTTACAAGGAAAAAGAATGGAAATCAAACTGTACTAACATTAAAGAAACATTATTAGAAGGTTATAATTAATTTCTGCATGCACTTCATTGCTATTTCATCTCCAACAGGATATCTTCCAATACCTTTTCAAAAATCTCTCAATGAAGAATTATAATATGAGAAAAAAATGTGCAATATTATACAGGAATTATCAAAATGTCATGTAAATTTCATAATATTTATATTCTCACTAACATGTCACTTAGAAGCTCAAAAAAAATCAATTCTGTGGTATATAAATTTCAATCATCAATATTAAGATTTTCTCTTCTTATTGGCTTCTATATACCACCACATAATAGTCATATCAAAACTTTACCCTAAATTCAGGACTTCTGAGAGATATTTGATCTAAACTCTGACTGATAGAAGATATAATTATACCATGTACTGAAGTTTTATTTAACAGGTGGGACTAGCAACTGAATAAGTCATATGTTAGTGTATAACTACACTCACCAACATCTGCATCTCCCACCACAGTCAGTGAACAGACGGCATGACACTCAGTCTGACCATAGCCCTCCAAGATCTGTAGAAAGAAATAGGTCTAACATAAACATGATGGAAAAAGTCAACAAAGCTTTGAAAAAGATAAACTAGAACACGGAGAGTTTTACACACGGCCCTATATGTGTCTATAGCTAGACAATCATTATCCCTCTAATAGATTGATCATCACCCTGTTCTGTATTTAGTAACCTTGATTTTGAAATCTTGTTTAAAATTATGTCTAATTGGGAAGCATATTACAATGAGAACTTTCATGAATTATAGACTTCCGAACTCTGATATAAACTTGGTAACAGATGTGTGGACAGACAGATCAAGGACACCACTCCTGTATCTCTAACACTTAAAATAAGTAATTTTTGATAATTGGCGCAATATTCCTTCTAAATTATCCCATGTGATAACCTCAGTAATAATGACTTGTAATTTTGAGCTATGAACTCCATTTGTTGTTAAAAGGACCCATAAAGTAAATGAGTTGGAGTACACAATATTTACAGGGAATTTTGAGACTTTATTCTGAGAATGTAAAAAGACGATCAGACATAGATAAGCTGTATCTGCTGATGTAACATACCGGACAACCAACACAGCATCGAAGGAACTGTAGCACTTTAGCAGAAAGAGGGGCAGATCCTGTGGTGATCAGTTTTACTCTACCACCGAGTCCTTCTTGGATCTTTTTAAACACCAGTTTGTCCCACATACTGTCTTTTCGTATAATACTCCTGAAATTAAACATTTTCATCAAATCAATCCTCACTTATAGATTATAAGATATATTCCTCTTAAAACTAACAAATTCATTTCCTTCAGAAAGCATGGTTTATGTTAACCAAGTAAAAAGAGACAGTTGTGTTCTCAAAACCCAAACTTTTTTACACAAAAAAAAATTTCATCAAAATTCAATTTCTCTACTCTTTCTTAATTTGAGTGATACACCCAGTATACCAAATTTGGTTGCTTTGGTGCTGCTGTCAAACTGAATAAAACACCAATTCTTTGAGCTGACAGAAAAGAAGCACTGCTGCCATTCCCACAGACAAAACAGTATTTATCTGACAATAAACCAATGTCTGGTTATAAGTCTACTTACATCTACATGCTATATAGCTGACCTGTAATCAGGCTACATTATTACTTTGATCAAGAGTTGATATGTTAACATTAGGGGCTATATACAGGATATTTGTACTTATATTACTTGTAACAATGATTTATTATTAAATGTTAATATGAAATACCGTTTAAGTTCCGATTCTTTACTGCTCATTGCCATCTTGAACATAAACTCTTTTACTACACTTGCTTTAGTTCCAGCCACTACCTACAACATTAAAAAGAAAATCACGTTTCAATATAAACACAATAAGTAGTTTTGCATAAGACATTCCTTACATGACATCCATTTTCATCTTTCAAGACATTAAGACATATATGAAAATTTATTTCATCTTAACATTTTTTGAAACTGAATCTGTTGAGACAGGTGTGACTAGCTACTTTATCATGTAAACTGTTGAGACAGGTGTGACTAGCTATTTTATCATGTAATCTGTTGAGACAGATGTGACTTGCTACTTTATCATGTAATCTGTTGGGACAGGTGTGACTTGCTACTTTATCATGTAATCTGTTGAGACAGATGTGACTATCTACTTTATCATGTAATATGTTTAGACAGGTGTGACTAGCTACTTTATCATGTAATATGTTTAGACAGGTGTGACTAGCTACTTTATCATGTAAACTGTTGAGACAGGTGTGACTAGCTATTTTATCATGTAATCTGTTGAGACAGATGTGACTTGCTACTTTATCATGTGATCTGTTGGGACAGGTGTGACTAGCTACTTTATCATAGAATCTGTTGAGACAGGTGTGACTAGCTAATTTATCATGTAATCTGTTGAGACAGATGTGACTATCTACTTTATCATGTAATATGTTTAGACAGGTGTGACTAGCTACTTTATCATGTAATATGTTTAGACAGGTGTGACTAGCTACTTTATCATGTAATCTGTTGAGACAGGTGTGACTAGCTACTTTATCATGTAATCTGTTGAGACAGGTGTGACAGTGTAGAACCTTTTAAGACAAAAGTGAAGTGATGGCTTACCTTATCATAAAATCTGTTGAGTAGTCGAGGTACAGAAGGAAACAAAGTTGGTTTTAATTCTTTGATGTCATCCATCAACAAACGTACATCTCCTTGGAAAAACCCTATTTTAGCACCACACAAGAGAAGATAGCACTGTAAAGTGAAAGAATAAATATATGGTAATTCAATTCATTACATAATAAGTCAATGTGCTGCATAGTGTGTCAATGTGTCTAAAATTATGACAATGTGTTACATAACGTGTCAACTTGTTACATCATATGATAATGTGTTACATAGTATGACAATGTGCTACATAGTATGACAATGTGTGTTATGTCATGTGTCAACCTCTAGTAATGTGTTACCTCTAATAATCTCTCATAAGAGTGAGCTAATGGCAGGTAGGATATCAACACATCATCAGGTGTAATCGTTATTCCAGCTGGATCCTGCAACATAAACATGACCAATAGTTAAAAAATTACCACAATAGCTTTCTAGTATAAACAACAATGCACTGCATGTGAACCCAAGCCCCAAGTTATAAGTTCTAGTGACTAGTAATGTAGAGATAGAGCAAGGGCAAATGTTTTATTTGATGTATGTCAAACCTAAAAATATATGTCAAAGTGACCTACTTCTGATACATGACAACACCTCACCTTGGTGAACCATGCCCCAAGTATGAAGTTCAATTGGCAATTAGAGTAAGAAATACAGCTCCGACAATTTTCCTTCTTTGACTAAATTCAAGGTCAAAGTGGAGGTCAGGAGTGGCTTACTTTTGATACATGACACTCAGCCTGACCTAGGTGAACCAATACCAAAAGTAGGAAGCTCATGGAACAAGCAATGTAGGAGGTAGCTTCAAGTAAGTCAAAGGTCAAAGTGTAGGTCAGAGTGACCAATATTTGGTACATGGTAACTGTCATTGCAACAATAATCTTATTAGTTTTCCTTTTTACAACCTGTTAATTACTGGTCACACCCTCATGAATATGAACAATGATGAAGTATCTGTCCAACTAAACCCTACCAAAGATAGGCAACAATAATCTGGTTTGTTTTCCTTTCTACAATCTGTTAAAAACAATGCCAAATGTTATTTTCAATTGCTTTATATCTACTATTGTGAATTAATCTTTAACATTAATTTGAACAGTTATAAAATTTTCAAAAAAAATCATTTTTATTGATGTGATTCTTGGCTAATACTTTGAACCATAACAAGTAATTCAAATCAAAGATATTGATGCTGTTTTGTGTTGTTGGTAGGGGCAGAGGGGAGGGGTGTGAACAACAGAAAATCACATCTGTGATCAATAAATGAACTTTACATTCAATTTATTCTTTATGGTGACAGAATGTGAGGATGAATAGCAGCCCTTACCAACTGTTTATTTGTAGCAGCCACCGTAGCAAGTGTTCCTTTGTGAGTCAGCATGGCACCTTTTGGAAGACCTGAAAAAAAAACAGCACATAATCTTAAGGAAACATTTTTTCTTACTTCAGATAAAAAAATATTGTTTTATGTGACAAATGGAAAAACAGTGAGGTAAAACATTCCTGCAGTATCAGTCTGAGCTTTAAAGACCTTTTATTATTATAAAACCCACACTAAATCATAGGTTATTATCTCCTTACACAGCCTACAGTTCCCATCATCATTATCACAATGGCTTCATCAATAAATTCACCTGGATAGTCGATAACAACTGAAAATTTATCAGGATCTATGTAGTCATATTGACGTAAACCATTAATTAGAATAACTGTTATCTTTCTATGTGTTGTTTATAGCACAATTCAAACTGTTTAAACCTTGGAATACCTACACATACATTGTCATAAAACTTTCCTGTCACAAAAATTCCATCTATCTTGTACTCCTCATTTCAACACTCTACATGACTAGGTTTTAGGAATAAATATATTAATATTTACTGAAGTTCTTCAAACTATTGTCAGTTCTTGAAATCCATCTAAATGACTTTCATGTTTTTCATTTAAACACAGGACCAAAGTAATCCAAATTTCAAATTTTGTTGTGATGATAGTTGAAAACCTGAAGATTTGATCATATAATACATTTTGTTGTAATTATAATAGTACTAACTCTTTCTAAGAAGCTGAAGTTAACACAACACTTAGTGTTGATTAATATGACAACATCCCAAAACATGAAAAAAAAAACAAAAAAAAAACTGAATAATGGGAAAACCTTGCTTTATAAGGTGAACTATTTACTAAAGCACACTGAAAAGTTCAGGTCAATTTGAATATGACTGGAGTTGAGTAGTGCATCCTAAGATTTAACTTTATCTAGAACTCGGATTTTCTAAATCCATTTCTAGAATACACACTAAACATGGAAGAAATTATTATTTTTAAGGAAATTATATGTTTATCTTGAAAATTTCATAGTAAAGATGTACCTGTTGTTCCACTTGTGTAACAAAGGACACACACATCATCAGACTTTGCTGGCTGAAAAAGATTATAACCACAGCATCAGAAACATTATCAGTGGTTTGACAAATGGAGAAAAAAAATTCAGAATTATCACTCTATTCAATGAACGCAATAAAGGTATGTTAAAGAAGAAATTCTATTATATTTTGTTCAATAAATGAAATTTTAGAAATTTTTCATATATAAGAGAGTAATTACCATGAGTTCCACAGGGTTTTGTTCTCCAAGTTTCTGCAAAAACAAAAATAACATTGTAAACCAATTGGTCATTAAAAACATTTATCTGTACCTATCCTGAAATAAGTCCACCTAACATACATAATTTGACTCGAAGTCAGGAAGTAGAGATTGTACAGAAGACACAAGTGAAAAAAATCTTTCAAAACAAATTTAGAATCAGATACAGTAGTGTTACATAATGAATCAAACTGCATCATACAGCTGTTTCGTCCTTATAGGACTTTGTCAGTGATGCTACCTCATACAGCTGTTTTGTCCTTATAGGACTTGTCAGAGACTCACATCATACAGCTGTTTGTCCTTATAGGACTTGTCAGTGATGCTACTTCATGCAGCTGTTTCGTCCTTATAGGACTTGTCAGTGATACTACATCACACAGCTGTTTGGTCCTTATAGGACTTGTCTGTGATGCTACATCATACAGTTGTTTTGTCCTTATAGGACTTGTCAATAATGCTACATCATACAGCTGTTTCATCCTTCTAAGACTCGTCAGTGATGCTACATCATATAGCTGTTTCATCCTTATAGGACTTGTCAAGTGATGCTACATCATACAGCTGTTTCATCCTTCTAGGACTTATCAGTGACGCTACATCATATAGCTGTTTCATCCTTCTAGGACTTGTCAAGTGATGCTACATCATACAGCTGTTTTATCCTTACAGGACTTGTCAAGTGACGCTACATCATACAGCTGTTTCATCCTTCTAGGACTCCTCAGTGATGCTATGGCCTAAATTTCAAAGCCTAGGAGGCGACTGAGGAAAATCCAAAGTGCCAAATCTGGATGGAGAGGTGCACTTGCTCCTGAATTCAACTAATTTCATTATTTTCCTAAATTTGATAATTTCAGAACAACTTTTAAGTTCTTACGCATATTCTAAACCATGCCACAATTCAAATACATTAAAAACATGGCATGAAGATTATTCCTAGATATGGGCTATTTGTTGATACAAATGCTGCATATTCTATCTGATCAGGTTATGGCTAACAGATAAAAAAATCAGCCCTATTTGATATCTATATTGTACCTAAGACCCTGTTTCGAGCACTTGTGCCATTTCACTTTGATTGTTGTGCATGTAATGTATTTCATTTAGCACTAATCTACCTCTGCAAAATAGGTATGAAATGCTGATATACCCAAGGTACAAGTCTACACCATGTGATGACATTCACAGCATTTAAAATGCAGTGGTCGTTTTTTCTGTGTCACAGGTAAAATTTATTTTGACATCTATTGTATTCAGGCAGTTTAACGCATTAACGTCTTACTATAAGGGAAATTCTTTACACTCCTTTAAACAAAAAAAAAATTGTTTGCTACAATAATGTCAATATCTAGAACAGCACACATTATCACCATTTTCTACATAAAATGACTTGAAAAAGACTAATCAGCTTGAATCTAGCAAAAGAAATATTAATAGACCTTAGTTATCAACTATGTAGACATTAAACAAGTGTATGTTATGTCCCTCCCACTGCCCCTACTTCCATTCTCTTTGTAACATCCAGGAAAGACCTACATCCTAACCAGACATGGCTGCATAAGGTGATATACTGTGACTAGATATCATTGCATCACTAAATGTAAACTAGACCAATGTCGAGGAAGGGCCACGCATAATACCTACCCCTTATGACTGAGTTTCTTAATATTAAGAAATATTGAAAAATGGTAATAGCAGTATGTAAATAATTGAAAATGGTATGAATTTCATGGCAAGAATTGAAAACAAAAACTGCAGGTACATATGTGAAGACATAGCAATTTTGGTTGTTTTAATGAGTGTTAGGTCAAATATATACATTTGTAATAGACAATGGTGAAAAATGGTTTGAAATGTGATTTTTGAGAATATCTGAATCATATAATGTTCCTGAATATGCTTTATACAAGAATATCAAAGTTATTGTAATTATTACCTAGTACATGAAATCTACAAATATTTGCTTGTGGTCACTGAAGTATGTCCACAACTGTGTCACTTGTGCATGCTGAAGGTCTCTTGTCCAGACATGATCAATATGGGAACCACTCTGGTGAGTTGGAGCAGTTGTAATTTGAGAGAAACCTGCTTTACGTAGAAAGTTAAACGTTGTGTTGGCGGATTTTCTCAGATCTACGTTGAAGTCCCCTCCTATGACAGAGGAAGATTGAGTCTTGTGCAAAAAGCAGTTGATGACAGCCTGGACTTCTAAGACTGTTGTCTTTGGGGGGCAATATAGAAGCAACACTGAACAACTAAATGCGCTGTTTCGTTTTGTCAATGTAACTGCTACAGCATCAATGGTAGGAGTATGGTCCATGTGAATCCTCTCCAAGTGAAAGTTTGTTGTTGCACATACAGCTGATCCACCACCATATCCAACCATTCTTCCAGTAGAGAGGACATTTGGGAATCCCATAATGTTTAGATGGTCATGTTCCTGCCAGGTTTCTGTTAATGCCAAAACATCTGATGTATTGATAAAAGGATCGTGCTGTACATCTTTTCTATGTGCTACTTCAAGATTGTTAGTGTTAAAGAAGCATATCCTTACTATTTCTGTTTGTGTAGTAGACAGTTTATCAGAAGCAAAGACTGCCATTTTGTTTCTCAGTCTTGCCATTTCTTCAGTAACAGCATCATCTGTCTTAATAGCATCTGCATTAAAGTCCAGAAGAAAGAGACCTTGTAGTGAAGTTATACGGCTGAAAGCAACATATGCTTGACCTTTGGTACGAAGCTTCCTAAATGATATAACAACCTTATCCAGAACAGAACGACAGGAAACTGTATGCAAGTGATTTCTGGAGATGATTCAGATCTTCCTGCGTGATCATTCCTTCAGAAGATATTCTCTGTAAAACATTCAGCCAATCAGATTGCAGCAGCCTCATTAAATATGCGCGGAATTCGGCAAACATCGAACTTGAGCGAGGGACTTATGTACCAAGTATCATAAGCAAATTTCATTGAAATCCCATCATTCCTTCTCAAGATATCGCGTGGAAAGCGAAACCGACAGACATGTAAAACATTCAGCCAATCAGATTGCAGCAGCCTCATTAAATATGCGCAGAATTTGGCGAACATCGAACTTGAGCAAGGGACTTATGTACCAAGTATCATAAGCATGTTTCATCGAAATCCCATCATTCCTTCTCAAGATATCGCGCAGAAAGCGAAACCGACAGACATGTAAAACATTCAGCCAATCAGATTGCAGCAGCCTCATTAAATATGCGCGGAATTTGGCGAACATCGAACTTGAGTGAGGGACTTATGTACCAAGTATCATAAGCAAGTTTCATCGAAATCTCATCATTCCTTCTCAAGATATCGTGCGGAAAGCGAAACGGACAGACAGACAGACGGACAAGGTGATTACTATAGGGCACCCGCATCGCGATGCGGGGCCCTAATAATGAGTTATATATAGTTCACTGATTTTAAACTATGTTTCCATATAATAAATGTTAATACTGAGATCACTCAAATGTTCATAAGGTAATCAAATTAATGGCTCTATATCACAAAGATCCACAGACTTAGCTTGAGGACTCTTACCACTGCACTGGGACCTGAATATAATCAGTAAATATGGTCATAAAAAGTCGTGACAGTTATATTTGATTTTAAAGCAAGGATTCTTTAAGCATGTTGGTAGAGTTAAGGTTGACTGTGTAAATATGTTAAACTGAAAATGTTCTAAATTATTTAATAACATCATTAAACAGTGACGTGGTATGAAAGTTAGAGTTTAGGGCTTTGTTTGGTTTCACAGTAAGTCCCATAACATCTATGGTTATTTAAAGATGACCTTCTGGTATATAACAGGTGAATGCATGTGCTGAATGTGGGAGGCCTTGGGAGACTGCAATTAACTTGTGAAAGCCTCCTTGTCATAGTGTGGAACTGAAGATGACTTTGACATGATACCACAATAAAGTATACTTTAGAAGGCACCCAGCAGAACACCCTACCTATTCACATCAAGAGGCCATGCATGAGACACTGTAAAGGGAGACATTAGGACAAAAATAGCTGTTTAGAAAAAAAAAGAAAAAAAAAAAGAGAATAAACTTGATCACCTCTGATGACTACATAATGGGGGTCATAAGGTAGTGTTTACGCCCAACATACAGGCAGGTTGCCTAGAAAATCCCTTGTCAACTGACTATTCATGTTACTGTTGTGTGGCAATGTCACTGTATAAGCCTGTCATATCAATGCAGTCTGAATGTCAATTATGGATGACAACACACCGACATAGACAAATGTGTTAAAGAAAATGTTTACCACTGACATTCGCATATATATATATATATATATATAGTTGAAAAAAATCAAATCAACATGACAAATGTATTCCGCTAACGTTTTCAGGCCTAACGGCTATCTTCAGGCGATACATTTATTATTGCATGTTGATTTGATTTTTTTCAACTATTTAATCGATACACAAAGCATCTTTAAGTTACATCTATATATATATATAAATATTGAAACATAAATTTTGATGATTGTTGTTCCTGTCATCCTTTCATACACTTACCTCAAGGTCAGAGAACATGATTAGTTCAACACCACATTGATGAGCTTTGGTGACATTTTCTGGGGTAGCAGGTTCTATTATTACTATATACTTCAGCTGAGGCGTCTCCTTAATTCGATCAAGTACATTCTGAACTTTCACATTTTTGTCACAACACACCAATTCAATGTCCGCTGTGAGGAAGAAATAGACACTTATCATAGTACTTGTCAATGAATATTGGTAACATTTAATGTAAATCATGTCAAACTATTATGTAAATAACACTTGGTATTTTTCATATCATTATACCAAATGTATTTTTTTTTTTTGTTTTTTTTAAATTTTTCTCCTTTTCTCCATCCTATCATTTCTGTCATATCAGCTATAATTACACAGGAACAAGTTAATGTGTACCAGGGTATATAAAGATTTCTAAAATTGTTATAACAACTTCTGATAGACAAGACAGGGGGATATCTTGTTTACTTAACTACTTAATTTGTTGAGTGTAGATGTATTTCAGACATGAACTCACCTTGGTTCATGATAAAGGAGCATGCGTCTGGCCCCAGTGTATCATACAATGGCACTAATACCATGGAGTACATATAACAACCCTGTTCCATGATGCCATACTGAAATTTACAATATCAGAACTTTATTTTCTATCACAGGATTTTACATACATTCTACTTTTTATGTCATTCAGAGTCAAAATTGTCCTTAAGTATATCAACTTGTACGATAAAAATTACAATGTGTGGGTTTTGTATTAAATTTTTTTTTATATGATATTTTTTTCTACCCTTTTTTTTTATTTCTGTCATTCATATTTTTAATTTGATAAAGCTCAAAACAAATGTGTGAAACTAGAGAGTTGGAACTACAAAACACTTCAGCCCTATTCTAAATTTAAATGATTGCCCCCTCTAAAATATCAGCTGTGTCAATATTAATGGTTTAAAAGTACAGAATACTAAAGATATCCTGACTTGTTGAAATCTTTCATGTTACACCAGATTTTCTGAATAAAGGATATAGATATTTAGATATTTCAAGTCAAAATACATTCATTATTTACAGAAATCATTTTAAGATAGGAATAAGGCATATCAACGGATATATGTTAGCACATATCAACCCAAGACATATCAATTTAAACTTTGGCAGAGATTCCACAAATCTGCCAATCCCTCTCCGGTAAAATGTTATCCTAACTGATACACATCTATTTGTGGAATATAAGGATACTTGTATATCATAAATCACCATTCAAAAGATAAATTTCCACTTGGTAAAGACAACACATAATAAAACTGAAACTTGAATAATGTGTTGTAAGTACAAACATATTAGAACTACAGGATTTACAATTTAGGTTTAGCCTCAACTACAGTTTTTATAATCTTTGTGTTTTGTCTCTATATTACCTAGTGTACAAAGTAATACTCTTAAGGAAGACATAATATATTACTTTATGAAGACAAGTTACAGTAAAACTCTGCTCACCAAAGTGTTCCTCGCACCAAGATATAATATGTTACCACTAGATACATAGACAGCATAGATTTTGACAATTCTAAATTTTGAATGCAATACAACACAACATAAAAGTGCTATTTGTTCCTGCATAGTTATATTCATCTAGTATGTTGTTAACTTGTTCATAATAAAAAATTATCATTTGTGGAATATAAAAGCTATAGTAAAGACAATTCAGTATACCTACCTCTACTCTGTTTTGGGAGTAGATTCCGACAAATGTCCTGTTGGATGCTTTCAGTCCTTTACTTAACATTCCAGCTCCGACATTAGCTGCCTTTACCAAAACCTTGTTAAAATAAAACAATGACAAGAAATAAATCCCCAAACTCATAGACACATTCAATACGACACCGGACACCTATTTTGATCAGAATCGAGAGAGTAACACTGTAACATAGAACTTAAAAAACAATTATCATGATTAATAAGACATACAAAATATAGTAAAGTTACAGCAAATCATTGATGTACTGCTTTACCTTGAATTTTATTTTATCATTCACAAGATGACTTTGACATGTACAACTTTAAACTGTATATACCATTACCAACTTAACAACTGGCTGGGTACATCAGCATTTATTACATTTTGCACACTCAAGAAAAATAGATACAGGCCTGATTATTATCTAATAATGTTAAGGTCAGTTGATACTAGCAATATAACTCCTAACATAGATCAGATATATTGCCTACACTGCATTACTGTAGAAACAAAATTTTACACAGGTAAAATCCTGGCTAAGGGTTTGTAACACTGTGTAGAGCTCACTGAAAACACAAATTACTGTTATATTTAAGACTGATATCTAAATAATTGATAGTATTAGGTTGTAATGGCCATACAAGTAATTAAATACACACAGCCAGATGTCAGTCTTTGTGTTGTTGTAAATCATCAATCATAAAGGACATATTGTATAACAATGTTACATCAATGCGAAACAAATGAGCATTCAATTTGTTTATTTTCTTTTCTAATGTACAAATATATGTTTTCTATCTGAACTTTATAGCCAATATCCTATTTTCATATACAAATTTGTTAACAGTTTCTCTACTAGCACACTGACATCAAATTATTTTATTAAAACTATATCTACTCAACATCCCTCATCAAAGTAATTTAAATATTTGAGATCCAGTACACTCACTACAAATTACAAATTATCCTGTTAAAAATTCTGCATTATCCTGGAAAATTTTTATATTGTAATGTTATTGTATAGAAACAAGGAAGTACTTAAATACACTTCTCTGATGACACAGGAAATAAACACTAATAATCATAAGTAGTAGATAATAAAATTTCAGTAATATTATTGACACATGTGGTAAAGCTAATATCAATGTCACCATTTAATATTTGTTTGTCATTTTAAGTCAATGTTACCTTTACCTATTTACCAATGTAAACCATTTTTTCATCATCATAAACTCTATGTAACTTCCATTCACCAATTACTGCTTGATCTATTCCTTATAATCTCAATTCATGACCGACCTACTTTTCTCTCACCAATTCCACCAATCTTTCCATTCATGACAGCCCTACTTTTCTCTCACCAATTCCACCTATACTTCCATTCATGACAGCCCTACTTTTCTCTCACCAATTCACCTATACTTCCATTCATGACAGCCCTACTATTCTCTCACCAATTCCACCTATATTTCCATTCATGACAGCCCTACTTTTCTCTCACCAATGCCACCAATCTTTCCATTCATGACAGCCCTACTTTTCTCTCACCAATTCCACCAATCTTTCCATTCATGACAGCCCTGCTTTTCTCTCACCAATTCCACCTATACTTCCATTCATGACAGCCCTACTTTTCTCTCACCAATTCCACCAATCTTTCCATTCATGACAGCCCTACTTTTCTCTCACCAATTCCACCAATCTTTCCATTCATGACAGCCCTGCTTTTCTCTCACCAATTCTACCTATACTTCCATTCATGACAGCCCTACTTTTCTCTCACCAATTCCACCAATCTTTCCATTCATGACAGCCCTACTTTTCTCTCACCAATTCCACCAATCTTTCCATTCATGACAGCCTTACTTTTCTCTCACCAATTCCACCAATCTTTCCATTCATGACAGCCCTACTTTTCTCTCACCAATTCCACCAATCTTTCCATTCATGACAGCCCTACTTTTCTCTCACCAATTCCACCTATACTTCCATTCATGACAGCCCTACTTTTCTCTCACCAATTCCACCTATACTTCCATTCATGACTGACCTACTTTTCTCTCACCAATTCCACCAATCTTTCCATTCATGACAGCCCTACTTTTCTCTCACCAATTCCACCTATACTTCCATTCATGACAGCCCTACTTTTCTCTCACCAATTCCACCAATCTTTCCATTCATGACAGCCCTACTTTTCTCTCACCAATTCCACCAATCTTTCCATTCATGACAGCCCTACTTTTCTCTCACCAATTCCACCAATCTTTCCATTCATGACAGCCCTACTTTTCTCTCACCAATTCCACCTATACTTCCATTCATGACAGCCCTACTTTTCTCTCACCAATTCCACCTATACTTCCATTCATGACAGCCCTACTTTTCTCTCACCAATTCCACCAATCTTTCCATTCATGACAGCCCTACTTTTCTCTCACCAATTCCACCTATACTTCCATTCATGACAGCCCTACTTTTCTCTCACCAATTCCACCTATACTTCCATTCATGACAGCCCTACTTTTCTCTCACCAATTCCACCTATACTTCCATTCATGACAGCCCTACTTTTCTCTCACCAATTCCACCAATCTTTCCATTCATGACAGCCCTACTTTTCTCTCACCAATTCCACCAATCTTTCCATTCATGACAGCCCTACTTTTCTCTCACCAATTCCACCTATACTTCCATTCATGACAGCCCTACTTTTCTCTCACCAATTCCACCTATACTTCCATTCATGACTGACCTACTTTTCTCTCACCAATTCCACCAATTTTTCCATTCATGACTGACCTACTTTTCTCTCACCAATTCCACCAATCTTTCCATTCATGACCGACCTACTTTTCTCTCACCAATTCCACCAATCTTTCCGTTCATGACCGACCTACTTTTCTCTCACCAATTCCACCAATCTTTCCATTCATGACCGACCTACTTTTCTCTCACCAATTCCACCAATCTTTCCATTCATGACCGACCTACTTTTCTCTCACCAATTCCACTAATCCTTTCGTTCATTCGAACACTGATTCTATCTCTTTATTCATCAACAAAACATATACTCTGTCTATCTATCTCTCTGTTCTGAAACAAAACATATACTCTCTGTTCTGAAACAAAACATATACTCTGTCTATCTATCTCTCTGTTCTGAAACAAAACATATACTCTGTCTATCTATCTCTCTGTTCTGAAACAAAACATATACTCTGTCTATCTATCTCTCTGTTCTGAAACAAAACATATACTCTGTCTATCTATCTCTCTGAAACAAAACATCTATCTCTCTGTTCTGAAACAAAACATATACTCTCTGTCTATCTATCTCTCTGTTCTGAAACAAAACATATACTCTCTGTCTATCTATCTCTCTGTTCTGAAACAAAACATATACTCTGTCTATCTATCTCTCTGTTCTGAAACAAAACATATACTCTCTGTCTATCTATCTCTCTGTTCTGAAACAAAACATATACTCTGTCTATCTATCTCTCTGTTCTGAAACAAAACATATACTCTATCTATCTATCTCTCTGTTCTGAAACAAAACATATATCTCTCTGTCATATATCTATCTCTCTGTTCTGAAACAAAACATATACTCTCTGTCTATCTATCTCTCTGTTCTGAAACAAAACATATACTCTGTCTATCTATCTCTTTGTTCTGAAACAAAACATATACTCTATCTATCTATCTCTCTGTTCTGAAACAAAACATATACTCTGTCTATCTATCTCTCTGTTCTGAAACAAAACATATACTCTACATCAGAAGTCCTATCCATCGCTTTATTTGCTAACAAAAGACTTACTCTCCCTGTGGTATGCTTTCCACCTTTATTCTCCAATAATACACATACTCTCCTTCATTACCTCCCTACACTCCTTTACACACCAGCATAACCAACATAAACCTATTTACTCCTGCTTCACACATATAATGTATAATTCCTTCTCATCCTGGAGTTTCCTGATTAAATCTGAAGTCTGTACTAATTAGGAATTTCCTATAAACAGGTTTACTCCTGATAACAGACATGTAAAACACAAGCTATGCTTGTTAAACTTATCAGCAATTGCTTTTTTTTGGTTTTTAATAACTGGTGAAGGGAGTGACTAGAAATTAAACAAAAGTAAACCTGTCACATCTCACTTTTATGTCAGCTAAATGAAACTTGATAAGGATTCATGCTAGGTTTCTGTTCCACATAAGTATGACATCATTCAGAGGTTGAGTAGATGATGCTGATGACAAGATAACCTATTAAGTGAAATTGGTAAAGATACATTATAAGAATTTTATTTCCTTATACGACCCATTACCCAGTATTCAATATAGTTGATTTGACACCATTAATAATGAGCACTTACATCATTGTAAGAGAGCCATTGGTATGGTTCCTTTGGGCTAGGCTTCCAGCCATAACAAGGACCATTATCTGTAAAGAAAAAACAACACATTTAAGCTATTACATCAAATTTCTGAATGTCTGATGTCAGCAACAGGCTACCAATTTCCCTGTGTAGGTATAGAGTTATCACTGAAATTAAATCTGTTCTCTGTTTCTAGAATCAAATATGGATTTCCATATGTGGATACAGTGTAAACTGCTTCCAGGGACAGTATCATATATAATTACATTAATGTATTGAAGCCAGCATGATCAACTACAGGTTCATACATATTTCATAGTTCTGTATTTGGGATTTATGACAAGACCAGTATCAGTCAAATGAAGGTTGATAGGCGAGACTAAATGATATGCAGGAATAGCCAGACACCACAGTGATCTATCACCAGCGCTACTTTCCTTTACGCTATATTTAGCACAATGGTGGCACCAAAATAACTCTGGCAGTAAGGTATGGGATGCTCAACACTGGAGATCTGAGGTGTTTGGTTCGATCCCCACCCACAGCAGGTTTGTGTTTCTAAGGAAACTTGAGATCATAGAATGCCTTACAGTATTGAAGTTGCATCATTGGGCAAAACACTTCATCACAACTGCTTTTTGAATAGCATGCAGCAGCTAGGTTTCCTGTGTGTTTTTCCTGACATGGCAATATACCCAGCAATCTATGGGATACTTACTCCTCATACTATGAATGACAGACTTAGTTTCAGAGACTTTTTCCTTAACTAAGGTGACTAAAGATGACTTACTTGATACTCTGGCACCCCTTTTGAATGCCTCGTAGAGTGTTGTGACACCATCAGCTACCTCAGTAATAAGTTGTCCATCTGTACACAAATTTGATATCCTGGCTCTGTCTTTTCCCTGTATCAAAGAACAGAAATCAGTTAAGTCATCAATTCTCTATTTCATTGAAGGATTGTAACTGGTCCAGCAGTACTTTATTGCCATAGAATAAAAGTTATATAAACAAATCAAAAGATCAAAAATCTGAATATGGTGAACACGTAGTTTTGCCATCCTCTTGTTAAATAATATCTGGCCATGACCTTCAAAATCAAGGGTGACAGTGTCATCAAGAAGACCTTCAGAATGTAATCAATTCTACAGTATAGTAATCACACCTGTTAGCATTCATATGATGTTTTTTGTTATGTTTCAACATCATTTTAACTATATCAGATCCAAAAACTGAATTTGAAATATTAAATACTGATATAAAGCAAAGAAATTTTCACTGATTCTGGCATTTTACATGATCTGAGCAGCAGATGGCCAACATATCGGGTTGATCTAATGAAATCGGGTGAGTTGGCGATACTGCATATTGATCTGAAAAAGTTTCAATTAAAATATCAGTACATTTTCCAAATTTTCAATCTGTTAAGGATGTATTAAGTTATGTTTGACCATAATTTAACATAGATATTTGTATTTTGGAATACTTTGCTACTGATAGTTTTACTTTTTGACTGAGCTGGAGCACTTGATATGACATTCCGTAGGTTTTTTTCAAGTGGAATATATTCCATGATAATTTTACAACTGATATAAAACTCACTATCTACACTGTCGAATCCCATTATCAAACTGATGTAAATTTTCATACTGTTTTGTAGCATTTGGTATGTTTAATTATAGGTTCATGATTTAATAAACACGTATTGGCATAAAGTGTTTCCTTCCTAGAAAGTTCCTATTATATGTACCTTAGTGAAGAAGTGATGACAAACCTTTCAAGTAAGGGGACACATTTTGAGCTGATATTGTTTCATACTTACACCAAATTCCCAAAATTAGCAATTTACTCATGAAAATTTCCTTCCAAATTCACTAATTTTCTTCCCACAATGAAGCAAAACTGCCCCATTAAAAACCAGTTAAAAAACACCCTTTTTTATTTTGAACTTTCATGGTGTTCATTTTATTCCATCTCTGAAAATAGCAATATGACCATTTACATCTAACCTCATAGAATGATGACCCTTGGCTCTTCCATCCCAGATAACACAATGTTCATGTTAATAGATCATATGTTGTGCCTTTCTCTTTCAAGAAATACCATCTTATCTGAAGCTACTATTGATTGATACAGCCTAAGTTCCCAAATGAATTGTCTTCATTCTGGAGCCAAGGGAAAGACTAACTGCGACTCGTGGAAAACAGTACATGAAACATAACCATCATTTACTATTGGTATGATCACTTATACACTTAAACTATTGATCAGTTTTACATCCTAGACACCATCAGTCTCTATCCAAGTACATAGGTATTGATTCGCTTGTGGTGTGATAAACTTTCGACTCTGCATTCATCTCAAAACAAACTGGCACAAACACCACAAAAACCTATTAATAAATAAACAACTGAGTTAGTTACCCCTAACAGATTGGTAGGGTACCTTAACACAATGTTATTGATTCATTCCTTTGTCATTTTCTTCATCTGAGAATCTATAATTTACACTCTCATGAATACAGATGATTTCTTTAAAACACTTCATGACATTGAAATTCACCAACAGTGAATATACTGTAGAAAAATAAACTCATTATTACTGACTATCATGCAGTACAGTCTCTGTCTTCTGTGTTAAATGTTCATAACAAAACAATGGATACCTATGCATACACATATAGGGTCAACATCAGTAATGAACTATTTTATTCCGACAAACCACACAGTGATATAGCATGCCCCCCTTTATTTCTTTATGTATTAGGATATCAAATCACAGACCTGATGGTGAATGTGTTATGTTTAAATTTTAGAGTTGTCTCTTTGTTATGTGTGTTATATTGATATGACTAACTATGGTAGTTTAAAGGTATGTGTAAGGTAAATTATATGATTATTATTAACGACAGGAACAAACTGTATAACTTGCCTGATCCTGTTGAAGACATATCCATCATTGACACTGCCTAAGGGTTATTCAGTGACTAATTCAGTGTTGTATAGATCATCATCAAGATCAGTGCTGATAAACATCCAATATCACTCAAGTGTGATATTATACATATGGAAAATTCAACCTTTCATAACGAGATCTTTCTGGCTTTATTACTTGAGGTAGGAAAATTTGTCCCGTTAAGGCTAAGGCTGGAATACTTGATAGCTGTGGATGGGTCTTGTATTGCAAGAGAAATTTGTATACATGGATAAATGATAAAAAGGCATAAATTTAATACCCCCATATTAATGTGACAAGGTTATAAAAAGTTTATTTTCAATTGACAATGAGATATAGCCAAGGTGTAGTTATTGTATAGTAGAAGAACAACTAGAAAGGTTTCTATAAATAAGTCAATGTTTTTAAGCTAAGGAAAGACAGGTGCAGATCCTAATAGACCCTTGGGAACCATCTTTGATGATATGTTGCAAAACTGTGTGAGATTGGACTTTGGACTTTTGTTTACCTGAGAAAAGTAAAATTCTTTTATGGCAATAGTGTTTCATACATATGTATAAACAACCTGATGAGATCCATAATAAAGCTAACATCACAGAGATCGGCCAACTTTACATCCACATTACAAAATCCATATTTCTGAAACCCAAGTCCAAGTTTCCAACAGCAGGAGACTTTGGAGTAGACTGTTATAGAGAGGTTATTAGTGAATGACTAGGCTATATGTTTAGTCATTTGATCGTCCATAAATAGATAGTCTCTGGGTTTTGCACCAGAATTACACCAACATGGCATGCATCATTTAGATTGTTACGTCAATATATTGGCCCCAGAAAGAGTGGAACTAGGAGTGCATCAAGATATGTGGCCCCAGCAAGAAAGAAACTTGGAGATATATAGTCTTAATTTGTCTTTACATATCATTTCTTCTAGTAACAATCAAACTAACTAGTGTTTGGAAATCCTTTAGAGACAAAACAATTCAGCGAATTACATGCAATGCCCCACCAAATGTGAAATCGTATGTCAAGGATGCACTGAAAGTGAATCTATGCCCCAAGTGAGAAGTTCAAGTGACTTGTATGGTAGGAGACAGAGTCCAGACAACCTTTGTCTTTGATGTACCCATAGGTCAAGGTCAAAATAAAGGTCAAAGTGACCAACTTTTGATACATGACACACCACCTCACCAAGATAAATCCAAAGTAGTTTACAATATCCAGTAACTCTTATGAAGTTTATGAAACACCTAGTTTAAATATGTCATTACTGTCAATTAATTTAAAGTTTTTATATATGCAGTAATTGTCACACCATAGTATATAGAGACATTCTCAGCTTAAACATCTAAAAAACCCAATCAATAGTTATTAAACATATCTAGCATTTTAATAAGGTTACATAATGTAATTGTAAGTGGGACATACAGATTAATGTGCACTAGTATATGACATATATCTGATATAATTATATATCTAGTATATTATTACTCAATGATATGTATAATTCATAATTTGTGCCAGCTTGTTATCTAATTTACACCAGAAAATTTGTTGAAATTAAAAGGAGAGTCCTATTCCTAATGTCAGCCTTCAACAGTTCATATCATGATTTTTACATTTCAAATTGGAAATTTGATAGAAATGTTATTGTCAAACCTCAACATAAACATCAATATTAAATAGCTGATCATAAACTTTACAGAAAAGTCCCAACAATTTACCACTTTGACAAGAAAATATAACAACTTATTACTCTGACAGTAACAGTAACAAATTATTACTCTGACAGTAACAGTAACAAATTATTACTCTGACAGTAACAGTAACAAATTATTACTCTGACAGTAACAGTAACAAATTATTACTCTGACAGTAACAGTAACAAATTATTACTCCAGAATGGTAACAAATTATTACACTGTCCAGAACAGTAGTAACTTATTACTCTGACCAAAATAGTAACAATGACAGATTTCTCATTTTTGACAGCTAACATTTTCTTACGGTCTATCATTCTGAAGTTGAAAATACTATATGAACGAAAGCGTTTTAAAACCATAAAACATAATAAAAGGCCTATACATTGCCAAAACTTTGAGAAAGACCCATCAAGTTATTTCTCAAAAATATCAATTCTAGAAACATTTGCTGTTGTCTTATCTGTCTCAATATTAAACATTTATGTTTGACTTGAAATATAGTTTCAAAAATTCACAAGTTGACCTCACATCAAATTCAAATGATGGATTCCCCTAAAACTAGGTTATATCAATATTTAACAATATGAAAATCAGGTGGTTGTTGTGAGGACATCTTCTGATCAATTTCAAATTCTACATTAGAGAACAGGTATGAACAAGGATTGCTGGAGATTAAACGTAAGAAATTAGTGCAAGTATGGGATATCAAAGCACATGACATATGCTAATGTAGATGTTCACTCCCCTGCTGTGGAATCCTTGATTCTCACCTTAATTTGGTGGCAGGTGGTTAACATATCATTATTTGATTGATGTTTTCTATGTCTACTTTACATTAGACACCTATACATGTGTAAACCAGGTAATATATCAGTACAGCATGATGAAAACCGTTAAAGAAAGGACAAAATCTTGTAGTAAAACACCATTCTTTACACACAAAACAATAACATAATAAACAACAAACATTGTCCCTAAATACATACCTCAATTATTGTAGATTGTTTATCAAGATCCACCAAAAGTGGCATTGAGCTCGCACTTCCCATGGTTGTTAATGTCCACCCTAGTACACAGCCTTATACATTACTCTATCACAACATGGGTGAATTTACACAGGCACACACCTGACTGTGTATAGCCCACGTGCAGCCAACCAGTTCTGTTAACGCTGTATTTAAATAGGTTCAGTGAACACTGCTCATGTAAATAATGTTTTTCCCTCTCTATAGAGAGTTCCATTCATTATTTTGTGATCTTATTAAATTGTTGCTGAATCCTTGGTCTACAACAGTGGACAAGGTGTTGGCCTAAGGTCCATGTCTATGGTAGGAATATTCTTGATAAAACAGGAGGTAAAACAAGACGTACGTGTGCTGATCAGTGCTAACCAGCAATCAATATTGTAGAAATGATTCTAAGTAATGCTGACAGGCTCTATAAAATCACTTCCTTCCATGAAACAGGTTTTCTATACCAGGAAACACTCCCGTGTAGAGCTAGACTATGTATAAAACAGGAAATATAAGAAAAATCCCAAGTGATGCCTCATCAAAGCTGTCACATGGTTGATAGTACATAGTAAATATTTCATCATTGCCAGCTCATGTTATTGAGATGCTGGCCTATGATTGGTCCATAGGTGATCGGCTTGTGAATGAATGCACACCAGGATTGGTACAAACAGTCACAACACACACTAACCACATCACCCCACACCAAACCTCCATTCTCTATGGCACACGTAGCCACTAACACTACTACAGCTATTCCTGGCTATTGTATATCCCATTGTACAATCTTTCTCATTTAGTGTTACTTATGAGTCTACAGATATATTTAGATGTTAGACATGTTTCTTATTACGTTATTTCTTGCTGCCTGGGAATTTTTCACACAATTTTTCTCATCAACATCTTTAATTATTGACAGTCGGCTAAATAAGATCATAATTGTGTTTCCTGTTCTTCAAGGATTTTGTGTACAGGAACATTGAGATTGTGAAGGCATTATATTTCCTTCACAGCATTTTATCATTTCATCATACACAGCATCATGTGATTACATTTTGTGAAATGAAAGTAAAACAAGAGATCTAAACGATCTTGAAGCCCGCCCTGGGAAAGTTTTCATTGATCTATATTTCCTTTCTTTCCCTTTATTTCCTAATCATTTGATGACGAGGGAATCCTACATATGAAAAACAAGAAAGATCTGACAAGAAATAGCAATAACAAACTTCAACTACCTTAATCTAAGATGATCTCTGGTCAGTCATTTTGTTTTTACCGAAAAGACACAAAACTGAATGGGCACAACTTGATACCATGGGGAACACACACATCAAATTTGAGAAATATCCCTCCTGTACTTTTCAAGATATTGTGATAACAAACTTCATCTGTCAAAATTTAAAATGGCAAATTTGTTTCACTGATCAATCTCAACATGAAATGGGCAGTATCAGGAACTACTGTGAACTACAACACAAGTTTGAAAAATACTCCTCAAACCCTCTAGTTGACAACTATAGCAATAGTCTGTTCAATTATCGATTGTTAACAATAGATTTTTAAGTAAACAAAAAATGCTACTTGAAAGCAACATTTTCATTGAGCTATTACCAAATGGCTGCTAGCCTTTATTTATTTATACAAGCCTCTTTGTGACCTCGATCATGGAAGTACTAAATTCGAAAACGGCACAATTATTTACTTTGAATGAAACAGAGTAGTAAGCACACAAGTTGTAATATCTATGAGAGTTTACATCGTAAGTAAGTGTTATAATTTTCATTATATCCAATAGGATCTAATTAAGTCTACAAAGTATAGAAAGAGGAGAAGTAACTTTAAATCAGGTCCATGATTTATATTCATTCCTGAAATGATCAAATTTGATAACATTGCAGAAGGTAACAATTGTAAATCCCTTTTTCAGCTATGACATTTGTTAAATTGTGCATTCTGATACATTTAATTGTTAGTGACTTTTACTTCTGGTTAGAAAAACAAATGTTACAGGTAAAAAATCTATTGTGATAGTATTGCAAGTGTCACTTGACTATCACAATACTATCACATTAGTCATTTTACTATCACAATACTAAGGTGAAAGATTTTTTGGCCTCAATAATCGCCTCTATTGCTTATATAAGAGAAGTCACTTGAAGATTAAACACATCAAATCTCCATGACATTGAAAGTGGGTCAAGGTCATTCATTTGAACCAAACTGAAAGCCCATCAATCCAGAACTACCAAAGTAATGACATAGAATTGAATGAGTGTGAAATTCTGTTTTGGTAAAAGTGACCTCAATCTTTGATTAATCACAATGATATTAAAGTTCCAAATAGACATCTGAACTAAGTATCAGAGACAAGCAACAAGTATCCAGGTGAGAGGAGAAGGAACCAATCATCGGCCACTTAATAGTACAATCTTGTTGGCTCTACTACCCCATATTAAAAAAGAAACATAATACATCTGTTCATTCCGTGACATAGCATGGAGTATCCTTAGTATTATTAACAGAAGATTGAAGATACAAAATGTTCATGTAGCCTAGGTTCAAATATCTCTTTTGTGGTATTCACACCACCAGAATTTCAGGTATACTATATCAGGTTGTATACCAGAGCTTCAAGCTCTTGACACCTCACTTCTGCAACCTGTTCAGCAATGTGAGGGGATTATTCTAGGTTGTTGTTCAACTTCATGATTGCATATCGGCCGAAAACATGAATATTTTATCATTCCTCCTTGATAAAGGTGTAGTTTGATTCTTCTTTTCCATTCAATATTGATGACAACAATACACCGGTCGATAAAAGTCACACACACCATAAAATCATACTTGCATTTTATTTTTCAAAATACACATTGTGGTGGGCACTTCCATTTGTAGCCATGATTTTACAATTGATACTGAAAGACTGTTCTATCATTTTATATAAACACACTGATGCATTTTGAACACTTGTCATACCTGCACTGGTAGGTAGATTTAAAACATTTGAGATAATCATGAAACCATTGGTGAGGGACTAGACAAAGGTGAGCAATCACTGTAATGAATCAATACACAGAATGGTATACACAGACTCGGGCTAAGGCTGCATGTGTAACATATATGGCTCAGGTACAATGTATGTGTAACCGATCAATACACATATCCAATATGGCTCAGGTAATCTCATACAAGATCATTTACATAAAATTAATGAAGGTAAAAGTAGCTTAGTTAAATTAGCTAAAAAAACCTAGGCTTTAATATAGAAATCAAAGACATTCTTAAGTCATAACCTCATTTTCCATTACAGTTCTTGGTGACTTGATCTGACTTTTAGACCTCAATAACAATACAGCTGCTACTTTAACATACCATTCATGTATCACATGTCTGGAATTTCATGGTCTATTTGGCCTGTTTTATTTTCAGTAAACATAATTTAAAGTATGACCTCTATTCCTGACAATAAAATCAATGATATGGAACTTTTAACTTGATAAGTAGTCAAGCTGTTAAGTACAATATTTTCTGGGTCTTAAACCGCACCGGTATATAAGCCACAGAGCCAATTTTCAAGAATTTTTTTCAATTTGATCCACATATAGCCACACCAGAATATAAGTCACATCCTTTCTTACGATGCACTAACCATTATGTTAACCAAAGTTTGTTGATATAACAGACAACGAAAGGCAATTTATCAAGATTATTAGTGAAACATCAAATTTATGTTTGCAAATGAATTATACACGTAAAATAGTAATTATCAAACTCATTTGGCTTGGGAGCCATCAAAGATTGTCTATGCACAGATATAGGGCCTGATGTTATGTGTGGTTTACTTAACAATATTTCCATCAGTGTCTGTACTGTTAAATATTAGCAAATGCCCTTGCATGCTGACAGAATTATTATAGTCCCATATTATTTCTTGTAGAATACACATAAAAACTGCATCGGTATGCCCGACTGCATAGGAAAAAATCTGCAGCTTACAATATGGAAAATATGGTACTAGAGATAATCTCATTTGAAACCTCCGTATATTTCTTACTTAATTTGACCTTTATTAAAATCTAAAACTTACAATCATGATATCCAAATGACTTGGTTCATCACCTGGTCTCTTTACTGTTTTTTCAAAAAAATTTCGGATACATGTATCATTGCAGTGTGACCTGAGGTAAAATAATACATGCCAAACAAAAATAGGTGATGAAATGAAGAGAGTACTTTACTGGTATCATGGATGACAAATAATACATGCCAAACCAAACAAGAGTTCCTCGGAACTGTATGTGTCGCCTGCATAAAGTGTCATGGTCACCCAGAAATTGAACTGGATGTGCAACGATCAACCATAAAGCTGTAATACCAAATTTCATTTTTATAACTTGAAGCATAAAGGGAAAACTGTGCAAAGCAATATTTCTGATAAATTTTCCAAGTTCAAAGGGGCATAACTCAGCCAGGAAGGGTCACAGACAGCATATAGCAAATGTCATTTCAATAACTCAAAGCATAACCAAAGAAAGTCAAGAAAACAATATTCCCAGAGAATTTTCTAAGTTCAAAGGGGCATAACTCAGCCAAGAAGGGTCACAGACAGCCAGGAATCAAACTTTATCTGTACCCTTGCAACAAAAAGCCATATACCAAATTTCATTTTGATAACTCAAAGCAAAAGCCAAAAAAGTCAGGAAAACAATATTCCCAGGAAAGTTGAAAGGGGCTTAACTCTGCCAAAAAGGGTCACAGACAGCCAGGAATTGAACTTAATCTGTACCCTTGCAACAAGAAGCCATGTACCAACTTTCATTTCCATAACTCAAAGCGTAAGCCAAAAAAATCTGGAAAACAATATTCCCAGGAAATTTTCTAAGTTGAAAGGGGCATAACTCTGCCAAAAAGTGTCACAGACAGCTGGGAATCAAGCTTAATCTGTACCCTTGCAACAAAAAGCCATATGCCAAATTTCATTATGATAACTCGAAGCATTACCGAAAAAGTCTGGAAAACTTTCATACGGACGACGACGACGCCGACGCGTGATGAAGGATCCCAAAGTTTCCGCCAGCTCTGCAGGCGACACACTAAAAAATAAATGATGAGAAGAAAAGAGTACTTACTGGTACAATGGACGATTGCTTCTCCAGATCACACACCAGTGGAACAGAGGGTGGACTCCGTGTAAGGTAGTAGGCTGATGCTGTAGTGACTGCCCCTATGGCCACAGCACCGGCCCCCATTAGGCGCATGTATTCATCACCCATCCTTTTCTCTGGAGAATTACCACGTATCTGTAATTGTAAATATCAAGACACAGAGTTCAAATAAATGTGTATAAGGTGCTGCAATTCATAAAATTATACCCTGTAACCTGCCACCATTCAGTAAATCATACCAGACATGGTAGCAATCTTGAATGATTTAGAATCAAATTCCAGAAATGGCAAATTTTTTAGCCTTTTGCTTCTACTGTTTATTTTAATATTAAAAATACTTCAATCGGTTTTAGATCCTGATTCCATGGTAACAGAAAAAAGTATAGGAGATGAAGAAGTAGTCTGACACAAAATATTTTGTAAACACACATTCAACAATTTGAGTTGTTGCACTTTGTGTAAAGCTTGAATTTTGCATTTTCACAGCATTTCTATTGTGAGAAGATGGGGTGTGTAAGATGCACAGATTATACAAAACAAAGCTCCTTTGACCCAAGGATATTTCAGCCTAAAGTTGGGCAAATCTCAATCATTCCAGTAGAAGGGTTTTAATTAATTTGCTCTATTTCCCCTAATGGGCCCAGTAGGAACTCTGTGTCGTTAATGTAAAGGTGTTGAATCTAAGAGATTGTAGCACTCTCAGTATACTGCATTGAATATACCAATTGTAAACTAAATTATCAACAATTATGAAAGAAAATAATCAATTTTAAATAAGTGCTTATAATTGCCACTATTTGTCTCAATGTTTACAGAATAAATTCAAGAGTACATATTGTATCACCAAAACTTCCATTTCCTGAGGTTCATTTCCAAACAGCTCCACTTCCTCATTTTCCTAACATTCTTTTTCTAAATCTCTTCAGTATACCTCACCCTACCATTTCCTCAGTTCCCTACTCCTTCACTTCCTAAGGTTCATTTCTAAACAACTCCACTTCCCATATCCCCATATCTTCACTTTCCAGCCCCACCACTTCCTCAGTTCCAAAATTTAAAAACAATGTATAGCTTTAGTTTACGCTTGAAAACAATCATTACTTTTTCACTGATGGTATATGTCTTTCCTTCAAAAATAATTCAAAGTCCTTTATACAATACCTACAACACACTATAGTGCATATGACACTGCCTATAAAAGTACCCAACACATGTTCACTGCACACATCTTATATATGTGTCACTATCAGATGATCATTTGATCAGTTTCATAGTAGCTGACCAATGTTCAAACTCTGATTAATTCAGTCACACACCTCTTAAACTAAAGTGCAGATTTACCATGTCAAGTTGTTTACATTGCAGGACACTGTTACAGTCTTAGATTATTACCTGGTAGTCAAATTTGCAGATAATGGAAGAGAGATAACTCTAACTACTCTAGGTAACCCGAGATCTGTTGGCTGGAAATCATTAGCCATTCCAAATTTAAATGCATTTTATTAAATCTGATAGTAGGAGACTTAGTGTTTTGTTCCATGTTACCTCAGTTGTATTCATACGTTCATGAATACCCCTCCACGCAATAATCTTTAATGATGTGACTACCTTGTGTTCATCTTCCCTCTTTATCTTGGGGAAAATTTAGAACAGCAACAGGTTTGGTGTTAGACGGAAATGTTTTGGGTTTTTTTCATCAGGAATTTGTGAAAGAAGTAATTTAAGAGTATGCAGCAGGAGCACTTTTTATGGCAAAGTATTTAAAGTCTACAAATCTAGATACCTTAAGGTAAGTTAGCTCTAGTTAATTTTGAGTTTAATTACCAGCACCTCTCCCATCCAACTTTGTTCTTTTTTTAAATTTACCTAGAGCCAACTTGTGCTATTTATGATAAAATATGCTAATATCACTTCTGTTAATTCAGATGCATGAGAAAGGCTTCAACAAAGCCATGAAAATAATGAAAGAGCTGTAGATGCTGTAGTCAAATGCACTGTATCTCAAGAAAACAGCTAAACACTTTGCTATTCTAAAATTAATTAGTATGACAGAAAGGTAGCACTGTTGGACATCCTCCAGCCTTACCAAAACTCAAAGCTCTGATAAAAAGTCAGTGTTGTCAAAGATGCCTCAAAACTGGGAATAGAATTTTTTTAATTTACACACAATTATTTTTAAGCTGATTTCCATTCTGTTTGCATAATGAAAATGATTTCAAAAATTAAAAAATGATAATAGTTCATGATTGCCAGAGTCCTTGTAACATCATAGCATCTTGATGTCTTGATATCCACTGGACTTCATGGTCTGCGTTAGTGTATCATTGTTTGGGTGATACAGTTAGACCAAAATTTGTTAAACTTTTATTTAAAAGAGCTTAAAGTTTGTTGACTCAACCAAAGTAAATTCTATTGCAGTTTTGTTGCTAACAGATTGACCTATTGATAATGCCAAGATACTTTCAAATGAAAAAAAAAAAAAATGCATAGCTCAGATCTTCTTACAATGTTTATAACAAGGTATCATAAACAATACAAATCTACTTGTTGTTGTACTTTGATATGTGAGTACAAGTTTTATCAAAATCCCTAAAGGATTGAAGCTACTAACACTGCTTACAAGGGTTTTCTAAAAATAGTAATGATGACCTTAATCCTTCAACTTTTAAACTTAAACTGTTCTGTGGTTTCGTGATTCTTTACAAAAATATGAAGTTTGATCAAACTTCCTCTACAAGAAAGCTGTCAAGGATTTTCTGAAAAAGGTATGTCACACTGACTTGATCAAACAACCCTAAAACTTGTCTTTGATATCCAGGATATTTTAAAAGTGTGTGATGTTTGATCAAAATCTCTCAAGAAATTAATCCGCTACCGTGCAGACAAGAATTTTCTTATAAGTATTGACAGTGACCTTGATCATACAATTCCACAACTTAAGCTTGTCTGAAATATTATAATTGTAATTGTGAAAGAAAACACTAATCTGATGCACTCAGTACACAAATCCTTTAAAACACTGTGAGGGATGTGGTGTGTACAATGTTATATTTTGAGAACTTAGCAGTAGATAGGTAGCACACGATTGTTCAAAATGTATACTTATTGCCATAAGTTAGAGTAACGCATAAAGATCTCTCTGATTTTAACGAATAAAAATTCTTTTATTTTCTATTTTTTTGTTGTTTTTGTTTTGTTTTGCTATAGCTATTGTAAAACATGCTATTCAGCATCAGGAATCAGGACTGTAAACAGATCTATTTACCTATCCTCCAAAACTACAGACAAAAATAGAAGCCACAATACCTCTTATCAACTTACTGAAACATATGTTCAGGTAGGATATGTCTGAAAAATATTCTACATTAAAATTATCATAACAGGTGCATTCCTTTTTTCCATTCAGATGTAGGATAATTGCAACATGGCATGATAATTAAAGTCTGCACACATTTGTTTACTTACCACTATATACTGCAATATTGCAACATCACGTGTCTTGTTATTTAAGTTTTATCACTGAATGTTGCACAAAATGGAAGCAGCAAACTAGATATTTATAGAAATAGCTACTTGATGTGGCTGTTTATAGATAAGCACCTGTTGGGAATCTCTGCAGATAAATCAGTTATATACATTAGAGAATAAACCACGTGCATGATGAGAGCCTGGCCTGTATAATATATTCTTGTAACATTAAGCTGGACAGCAGACATATTTCACAATGGTGTACCAGTGAAAAAAATTAGCAATAATGTAGAACAGTCACCAGATATCTATATAACTATAAGAGCTTACAATGACACAGAAAACTTTCTAAAGATTTAAAGTGAGCCTATATTGAAAATGCAAAATAAAATCAAATTGTTTTCCTCATTAATAGCAACATTATTATTAGGCTGTCTGAAAAATATTTTGTGAAAAGAATCATGATACAGGTATATTAATGTAAACACAGTTAACTTCGATATCAGTGCCATATACTTTTATACACATAACTTTAATTGATGCATTGTACTTATGAACAAGAGACCCAGAGGTATTGATCACCTGGATAATTAAGTCAATAATGCAAAACTTTACACTTCTTTAGAAGGAAAATATTTCCCCTGATGAGCCTCACCTCACAGATACAGCTTCAAATTCCCTAGGGATGGGGACAGATTAATTGTTAATCTCTTGATGTCCAGCAATGCTATTAAGTTATGAGATGGTAATCTCAATGGTTTAAAAGACATAACCTGTCCTGGGGTGGAACCAGACCCCAGGATAAATTATAAGTTTTGATTGTGTTTATCTTCTGAGGCTCAGCAATGCTATAGCTATTCAGTGGGGATCACAACTGCTTCAAAGAACCAAAGATCGAAATGAATTGTTGATGGTGCAAAGCCGTGATATGATATGAACTAAACCTACTTGGGGGTTAGATTTTCCTTGTTGGGCCCCACCCATCTGGCCCCAGGAGAAAATCAGGAGAAAATCAATCTCTTTCTTCAAAATCTACCTTGTACTTCAAGAATCACAGGATATTGTCTAGATTTGGTCTGAAACATGCTTGGGTGAAGAAAACTCAGTTTTGGGTCTCTGCCCCCTGGGGCTAGAGGAGGGGGTTTGAGCCAATAGGGGAAAGCTAATAATTTCTGTAAAATGTATCTTCTTCTTCAGAAATTGCAGGCTATTGTCTAGATTTGGTCTAAAGCATGCTTGAGTGAATGGACATCAGTTTCGTATACAGCATGGGTTTTGGTTCTCTGGCACAACGTATATACAAAACTGATTTCCCTTCACCAAAGCATGTTTCAGACCAATTTTGGAAAATACCATGCAATTCCTAAAGAACAAGATAGATTTTGAAGATTTTAAGGTAAGCATTTTAATTAATAAGATGTTCCTTGTTCGGGCCCTGCTCCTAAGGCCCCTAAGCTTGCCTTGTGGGCCTGTAATTATGAAATGGTACACCAGGGCTTTATTGAAGAATTGAAGGTCACATTTTATTTTTATCGATGCTAACCCTGAACTGTACTCCAGACATTATGTCAACTCTGCACAAGTAAACACACATGAGAATACACTATTGTTCAATAAGCATCATTATTCACCTTATCTGAACCCTAGACATACTGTTGAGACTGGGG